ACTATTTTTTTTTTATCTCTCTCGTCCACGTCATATTTATTTCAATATTCAAATTACTTTATTTATCACCCGTTGTAGTTAATTACCGTAAAATCATTACATTTACTATTTTATAATATCTACAATAATTTATTTATTTGTACATATTTTTATTATGTAGTAATATAATAAAATTTATACATAGTCCTATATTTTTATTGTCATAATATTTTTATATAATATTATATTTTAATTTTTAAATATTAATCTATGTGAATTTAATAATTTGAAACATATAATTTACTGTTTTAAAATTTGAATAAGAAAAACTAAAATAAAATAAAATAAAATAAAATAAAATAAAATATGATAGATAAAACGCTAATGAGTTTTAATATATTTATAAATAAATTTTATTGAATTTAAAATTTGAAATTTTAAGATTTTTTTTTGAAAAAAGGATAATACTTAATTAATTTTTATTATTTCTGTTGAAGGTAATCGGTTCTTGAGAAAATGTAATAAATTTAGATTAACGGTATTCTTATTAAAGGTAATGAGTATTGTTATAGTAAAAACTGGAAAGACAATCACAAAAGAAACGAAGGAGGTGAGTATAACTGATGCTCTAAACTATATATACATTGACTTATTTAGTTACAATTTTTTGTGTTATTTTCGTAGGCTAACATACAAGTGGGACCCAATTCTAACGATTTAATTTTTTAAAATATTATGTAATATATATGTTTAATTTGTTTAGAATTTAGATAATTGATCACTACTATTAACTTTATTTTTTTAATAAAAAACCTATTATGATAAATATTAAATTTAATTATTTAAAATATAATTATTTTTAAGTCGATGATTTTTTTTCTTATCTAAATAGTATTAAATGAGAAAGATAAATTAAAAATTTATATATTTTATAATTTTTTATTATATACTTGTAAAATATTTATATATATTAAAAAAAATCGGCTTATTATTATTATTATTATTTTTATTTTTTTATTTATTTTTACTCCGCCACTTAGATTAATGTAAAATTTGCATTTTATTTAAAAAATATTTGTATATTGATCTAACAAATTAAATCCATGCCAGTACATCATATTGGAAATTGTTATATAGTTAACTATATAAAAATTGACGGTGTGATGCTAACACATATGACTGATATTTTAATGTTATAATTTTTTATTGGGTAAATTATATAACACCCTCTTGTATTTCAGTAAGAATGCATAAAATACTCTATATTTTATTTATCATGTGAAATTTTATTGTATTAATGTAAAGTTTGCACGAAATATCATCCTTATTCGAAACTTTGATTCTAAATAAGATCTAAATTATGCAAGTTTTATATAAATAAAAAAACGTAAAATATCTTAAATAATTTTTTTGAATAAAATAAATAATTTATCGATCATTATTTTTATAGTTTTTATTAAAATCAGATAACAATTTGTCTCCAAAAATTATAAAATGAATGATTAATCAATTATTTATTTATTTATTTTATTAAAAAATTATTTAAGATATTTTGCCTTTTTTATTTGTATAAAACTTGTGTAATTTAGGTCTTTATTTAGAACCAAATATCAGTTTTGGACAAGAGGGTGTTTCGTGCAAAATTTACATTAATACAAGGGGTTTCACGCAATAAATAAAACATAGAGTATTTTTTGTATTTTTACTAAAACACAAGGGGGTATTATATAATTTACCCTTTCTTATTTTAAGATTGATTCTATTATAACCATCACAAATGTTTATAAGAATATACTCCATATGTCCAAGTCGGGGAATGTTAGGGTGCTGATTTTTCAAATCTACTGATTTTCTAAATCAGCACTCATAAAATACAAAAATAGTACAAGTTTTTTTTTTTTTTTTTTTTTTTTTTATTAAAAACAATATGTGCTATTTGTTTATAATTATACGTGTTGTATAAATGTATGTCATGTGTTGAAATGAACTGTTGCACGTATTATGTGAGACTATATCATCTGTTATTAGTTCATATGTTGTGTTTTTATTATATGAATATAAATGTTATGTTGTCACTAACATTACCATGTGATGTTTGTTAGTTCTCTATATGTTGTTAATTCATGTGCTGTGTTTGTATTATACTCCATCCGTCCCATATCTATATATCTATTTGCTTTTTGCACGGAGTTTTAGAAATATTAGTATTATATTAAGATAAAGTAAAAATAAAGGTAAAAAGACTAAATTACCCCTATTGGTATTGTATGATATAAATGTAATGACATTGTGTAATATATTGTAAATTGGAAGGATATTTGTAATGTTAGGTAAATGGTACAATTACTAAAAAAGTAAATGAGTACTTCGTTATGGAACGGGCCAAAATGGAAAAATGGATAAATTATTAAGGGACGGAGGGAGTATTAATATAAATGCTGTTTGTTAACTCTATGTGTGATGTTAGTTCATTTGCTGTATTTGTATTATATTAATATAAATAATGTGCTGTCACTAACATTACTTGTGCTATTTGCTAAATATATTTATATTCAGCACTGTAGCTGCTGCCGTTTAAGTTAAAAATATTCATCTGATTTTTGCACGTATATTTAAATATATTAGTATTTTATAAAAATATAAATGTAATTTTTTTTTTTTTTTAACTCTTGGCATTAATAGTATTAAAAGAATAATGACAAAACGAAAAATATTTTGATATTTAGTTGAAAAATACTTTTACTAAAAAAAACCGATACATTTTACTTGAACAAATAAAAATACAAAATAAATAGCTTTGACTCAAACGGAAGAAAGTTTATTTAACAAAATACTTGTCCAAACTACTATTGAAATAAAAAATAAAATAAAATTCTAAAAAATACACCCTTATGAATAAATTGACTTAAATAAAAACAACCTGCACTATACTTGTTCATTAAAAGTCAAATTAAGATTTTTGTTTGAACTCAATCAATCTAAAGTTTTATAAAATATATGTTTGTTGAAAAAATACAAATAGATTTATTTGAAATAAATCGTACAAATAATATACTTTCTCCGTCCCAAAAGAGATATTTTATTGGGTGTTGGCATGAAAATTAAGGAATAATAGTATTTAATTGAAAATGAGTATAAAATATAATGTAAAATATTAAAATGCCCTTGTTTTTTTGAAGAATTTTTAAAAGTAGGTTAGAGTAATAATTATGGATAATTTGAAAAAATAAAAATAATTTTGCTATAAAGTAGAGACTACAATTACTAAATAAAAAAACAAAACAATTATTTTGAAACTCACGAAAATGAAAAAACAAAATAATGTGACAGAGGAAGTATAAATTTAATTAATGAATTTTATATTTATTAAATAAATTTTACATGTACAACAAAAACAACTTTAAAAAAATATATACTCTAAATTTTAAATAAAAAAATATAGAGGATAATACAATACTTTTTTAAAAATAATTTTAAAATAAACGTAAACAAATTAAAAATTATCTACGTTAAGAGGTTGTTTGCCAAATAGCTTTTTGAAGAGTTTTTAGCTTATTGAATAGCTTTTAGCTGGTTGACCGTTCAAAAAGCTAATTTAGGTGTTTGGTAAATTAGTTTTTTGGAATAGCTTTTTGGACCCAAAAAGCTAATTTCTGATAAGCTAATTTACGCAACGTTTTTAAATAACTTTTTCTGTAATTTTTTTTTATTCCTTATATGCCATTAAAAATTTATTATGTATTTTCCACAAATAAATATATTTTGCTTATTTATTAATTATATTAGAATATTTTATTATATTATAGTTTTACTTTTATAAATTTAATATAATTAATTTTTATATAAAAATTATTTTAATTATAAAATATATAAATTTATTAAAATCAAAATAAAATAGAAAATATAAAGATTAATAATTTATTTTTATATTAAAATTACAATATATAAATTTATATTAAAAATAAATTAAATAAATTAAATTTATTGAAAATTATAGATATAGTAACTAATCGATAATTAAAATAATAAATATATACATAAAAAATTTATTATTTTATATTTTACATCATTTTCAATAGAACAAATTGTTTATATATTTCAATAAAAATATATTATTCTTTAAATATAACTATAATAAAAATAAATACTTTTATAACACTTTTATAATTTTTAATAACTAATAATAAATTTTTTTAAACATTCTAAACTCAAAAAAACATAATTGAATATATTAAAAACAAAAATAAAATAGAATTGTCATCAATTGTCATTTTACGTATAAACAGCTAATATCAAACAGTTATTTTACCAAACATTTTGATACAAACAACTAATCGAATCAGCTAGTCAAACTAGCTGATTAAATCAATTAACAGCTATAAGCTAATTGGCAAACACGCTCTTAGCGATAGACTACCTTTGTCCAAATGCTACAAAAGTGGTCAAAATTGATTTTGACTTTCTTGACCAAATCCAATAAATTACCGCAGCTACAATTTATTATTTTCTCCTTCCTATCTAATAATACGCGTGCATACAATAATTTAAATAAAATATAATTAGTAAATAATAAAAAACAAATAATTAGTAAATAATAAAAAATGAATAAAAATAATTATTATATAATAAAAATAATCATAAATTAAAATTATAATAATTAAATAATTTAATTAAAATTAAAAAATTAAAAAATTTAAAATTTAAAATAAAATTAATATATATAATTATTATTAAAAAAATTAAAAAATAAATTAAAACTTACGTATAAATTTAAATAAAGTGGGCCCCAACCTTACCTTTTTCTTCAATTTTCTGCCGAAGGCATGTGCTTCCATTTTCACCTTTTCCAGAACTAGCCCTAGGAGGATTTTCTTCTGAGGTCCCCGGACTTCCAGAACCCCGCGAATCGACGCTTCAACTTATTTAAACAGTTCCTTCTGGACTGGAGTTGAGGTCCTGGACCTTCTGAAATACCACTACAAATGAAATTGGCCCGGGCTATCTTCTCTCGCTTCGACGAATTTAATAAAAGGATAAAATCCTGCTGTGTCTGAAGCGATTCGTTCTCTTCTCTTTGGGGCATTTAATCGAACACGTAGAGTGCGTTGCCTCTGTTTCTTCGGAGTTGTTGAGGAAATTAATTGAAGGAAAGAAAGGGGATGAGTTCGGGGGGAGGGACAAGCACTTTTGTTATCCGATGGATCAATTTTCTTACATCAGTACGTACGCTGTTCTTTTCGCTTGATTTTTTGATTTCATTTGTTGTTAAGAGTTCATACAAATGTTTGTTTGAGTTGCATTTGCATTTTCCTCCTGTTTTTGATTTTATTGATTATTGTTTTGATAATTTCTGAATTTTGTGGTCGGAATGCAACGAATGTGTAGTTCGATACTTTCGTTTTTGTTTTAAGGAAAATGTTAGGGTTCTTACTGCATTATGGAAGTGTATTTTGAGGTATTTTAGGGTTAGTTTGTTCGTGTTTTTTTGGAAGTTTGGGTTTTGAAATTTAAAATTTTGAATTGGATTGATTATGAACATGACGATATTTTGAATATAAAATTGATAAATAGATTTGATATTTATAGATTTTTTTTTCCTTTTTTTTTTTAAAAAATAAAGAATAGAAAATCTAAAAAATAACTTTAAACATAAACATCCTTTGGGATCATAGAACTTTTTTTGAATAGTAAAAAGTAGGGTTTGATGTAATGTTATGTGAAAGTAAATATATATTTGAGGTGATATATATATATATATTATTAAATGCAAACATAGTAGTGTGTCCTTTTTTTTCTTTTTTAAAAAAAACACATTTAAAAAAAAATCAATATATTACACACATTTATTATTTTTATATTACGTACATAATTTTTTATACCTCACATAAAAAAAAGTTATTAAAACCATTTCACAAAACAAACACATTTGATTAAACTCAAATCAACACTCTATTTCAAATCAATTTCCGGCTCCGTCCACACAATGTTTTTGATGAATTGATTTTTGGAAATATCATTTTTGGGAATCGCAATTCCAAAAAATTGCTACACGAACAAACCTATTTATGCACTATTTTGTTTTGGCCAATAAAATAGTGAATTATGCAATAAAATTTACGACATATTTTAGGCATTTATTCGTATATAATTTACCCTAATTGTTTTTGTGCTCGGATTTTATAGTTTGTTTTGAATAATTTTAGTCGTGGTTTCAAATTTGATGTGTAGTTATTGGCAATGGGAGTGGTGGGTTTCGGGGTGTGGATGAGCACTCATCACGACAACTGTAGGAAGTCTCTTACACTACCGGTCATATGTCTTGGCGCTGTCATCTTTCTGGTGTAAGAACTCACAACATTGTCATAATCTTTTGTGTCGGAAAAGAACATAACAATGGTTTATATCTCTTTTTTTTTAGATCAATAATCGGTTTTTTAGGTGCATGGAAGAACAACACAATCTTGTTGTGGATAGTATCCTTTCGACTTACGGTTTGTTAATGAGTTTTTTTTTTTTTTTATTATTTAATTAGTTTGGGTTTTTTTATCAAATTATTTGTGGGTTGTTGCTCCTTAGCCGTCTACTTACAGTATCTTGTCTTTCTTTGCGTTATACTCATAGCCATTTTGGTCTTCACGGTGTTGGCGTAAGTATTGCTCATCTTATTGACGGCTACGATCTTTTATATTTATCTGACGGTTATGATGAGTTGAAGAACGAATAGTTACTTTTAGAGTTATAATAGTTGCAATTAGGCATTGAGAATACTCATGAGATATATTTAGGGTGTGTTTGTTTGGTGGTTTGAATTTCTGTCTGAATAGTAAATATTTTGAATTGGAATAGTTGTATGATGTAATATAACATGCGATGATGTTTTGAATGTAAAATTGATTTTTAGTATAATATAGAAAAGAAAAATTCGGTGTTTCATTTGATTTTTTGGGGGGGAATTTTTTTCGATGAATAGTAGAAATTTGATAAAATTGAATAAAAGAACCCACCCTTAAAATATCTTAGGGTGTGTTTGTTTGGGGATTTTCCCCCAAGTATACTATTCATCAATTTTTTTTTTTTTCCAAAAATATCAAATCAAACGCCTATTTATATCACATCATACAACTATTCAAATTCAAAATTTTTACTTAAATTCCAACTCAAAATCCAAACTCCAAAATAAACACACCGTTAATAAAAATATTGAGAAATATTATAATTTTAATATTGTAAATTGGAATTCGTCATTTATGTAATTTATTTGAAATTTATTAGAAATTAGTCCCGATTCAATTCTATTATTTTTATATCCTATTCTTGTACTACTAGAATTGATGGGCTTGCAATGTAGGCTTGAACAAAGTCCACGTCGGCTAGCCATTTAAGACATTAGCTTATACGACGGACACCTAAAAAAATTAGAATGTTTGGTAATAAAGGACTAAAACAATACCGATTTCTAATTACATTTAAAAAGAACATAAATGATAAGGAGGTTAATTTTAATTTGTCTTAAAATACTCCATAATAGTATTACTTTCTAAAAAATGTAAAATCTATTACATAGATGTGAGCTTGGAAGTTGACATCGAGCTAAAGTGGATTGTTCTTCAACAATTTCCTCTGTTTTTTTTTTTTTTTTATCGAAAAGATTAAGGATTTTATATATGAAATAAATAACAATTTCCTCTGTTTTGTAGGTTCATAGTAACGAACAATGGCTCGGGACATGACATAGCTGGTTTGAGGTAAGACAATCTGACGATTGCTTCACTTTGCGCGTGTTTAAAATTACTTGTCCTATGCACTTTCATGTGTAATAAATGCTACTCCGTCTGTCCATTAAGTATAGATATATTTACCGAGTCAAATCGCGTGCAAGTCTATAAATACTAAAATACCCTTAAATTGTACCGACTATCACCTAATAAGGAATGTACGTTGAAAGGGGTATTTTGGTACTTCATGTAAAAAGATGGGATATTTTATTAATATTATGGGGTCGACGTTTACAAAAGTAGGAAATGTGTCCATGTTTTTGTTTATGTCCTAAATGGTAAAATGTGTCTATTGTTAGTGGACAAATTGAGTACAAAGACGACCTTTTTGTTATTCCTATGATGTTTTTATCTTTCCATGTCCCGAGTTTAGGTATAAAGAGTATGAACTCAATGACTACAGTTCCTGGTTTCTGAAACAAGTAAGGATTTGTCTGTGGTACCATTGAACATTAGCACGAAATATTGATTTATTTATTTATTTTCGATGTAAAATAGTTCTTTTTGTATATTTTTTTGGGGGTATGTTTCAGCTAAATAATTCCCATAACTGGAACCACCTGAAGAGTTGTCTTGTTAAGTCGGAGGACTGCAATAACCTGTCCAAAAATTACAAGGTTTGTATTCGAATTATTTTGAGTTTCGATTAGTCTCTTCACTGTTGTCAAATCTTGGTTATGTTTTGATAGTTTTTGTACAGACCCTCAAGCAATTCAAATTGGCTAAGTTAAGCCCAATTGAAGCGGGTTGCTGTCGACCTCCATCCGAGTAGGTGCCTTATTCTTTCTCTATCATTTTAATCCTTTTCGCAACATGAAATTGCTCTTTAGTCCGATAAGAAATTATATCCATTTTTGGTTTTTCTCGAGTAATCTTATAATCTTTAAAGTTTTGAAACTTAAAATGATACGAGGGGTAGCAAAAATAAGTATGTTCCGAAAGCCCGGTCCGAGAACCATGTTTGGGCTTTAAAAAATGGGCCTGAAAATTTTTGGGTTGTGCCTGGCCCGGCATGCTAATGAACCAGGCCATACATGGCTCATGAAGGTCGGACCGTGCCTGGCCTGGCCTGGTTTTTAAAATTAATATTTAAATTTTAATAAATTTATATATATTAATTTTTGAAATAAAGATAAAAATTAAAACATAGCTTGATGGTAAAGTTCTTAATTTGTATATGTTTGGTTGTGGGTTCAATTTTTTACTTCTAAAAACCGGTCCGGCCTGGCCCGAATTGGGACGGAGGGAGTATAATTTTGGTGTTTTCATTGCATTTTTTGTGTTTCGTGTTAGTGAAACTAAATAATAATTTGGATGATTTAAGACATGTATCCTTGTTCTTTCCTGAACTTGTGTTCTTACAATGATTGTGAGGCTCGTTTGATTATTGCGCGTTTGGACATTTTAATTAGGTGTGGCTATCCGGCGGTGAATGCATCGCACTACGACTTGAGCTTCCATCCGATGAGTTCGAACAAGGATTGCCGGCTCTACAAAAATTCGAAGTCTATTAAATGCTACAATTGCGATTCTTGCAAGTAAGCTTTGCGCCGCTCACCTTCATATAAACCACCTTTTTTTGTACATCGAGAATTCTTACCGGTGGAAACTTGTCTTTTTTTGACCGGCCTACTAAAGGGCCGGAGTTGCGCAGTACATGAAAACCGAATGGCGAGTTGTTGCTATCTTCAATGTCATCCTCTTCATCGTCTTGGTACGTCAACTTTGTAATTTTCTTTTCATTTCTATACTATTTAATATTTTATTTTTTATTTTTTACTTTAAAAAATATCACATCGTATGATTAATTTTCACCTTTAGAACCCGAATCAAAATTTAAATTCCAAATAAACACGCCATTATTTTCACCCATTTAAGTACGAAGATGTTCAAAAATTGCGAAGTGAACGAATATATTTGTTTTCTTCAAAAGATGAAATATAGTTCGAAGAGAAGAAACTATAAAATTAGCTTTTTATGTAATATATATATACTTCATCTGTCATTCAAATTTATTGCTACTTTTCTTTTTTGATTGTCATTTAAATTTATTCCCGTTTCATTTTTTAGTAAGAAAATACCATTTTTTTCTACATTTTCTGTATTCTAAAAACTAAAAAGTTCATATTTTTATTTGTTTTTTTTTAAAACTCGTGCCTAGTCAAATGAGTACGCAATTGAATGACGGAGTAAGTATTTTAAAAATAATTACTGCCGATAATCCAAAAGTATCTATGTAAACCGCAATTATTACAATTGGAAACAATGTTGTTTCTCCTAAAACCCGAGTGATGTGATGCAGTCGATCGTCTACTTTGTGGGTTGTTGCGCGAGAAGAAATGCTTCAAGGGACAACTCGAAAGTTTAAGACAACAACGATGGATGTGTTCTTTCGCTTTGGCTTCCGAAACCTCGGAGAAATCGAACATGAAGAAATGAAATCATGGGAGAGTGTTAAGTGTGATTACTTAATCCTTATTGACTTTGATGTTGTCTTTGTATGAACGAATTTAGGGCAAAATTTTGTGAATAACATTGCCACAAAAATGTTTTGTTAAGGTAAATCCAAATGGATGTATGGCTTTGCTTAATTCAAGGTTGTGTAAGGTTCGGATTTTGGTCTGAAGTTTTAAAATAGTACTCCATCCGTCCCACTTCTCATGTTTATTTTTTCATTTTCGTCCGTCTAATTTATTTATTCACTTTTTTTTTTTGAAAAAGAATTATGCACTTTAATCTTAGGGGGCGTATTCAATCAACCAGGCTTTTAAAAGTCTTTTAAAATCACGACAGTATTTAATATAGACTTTTAAAAGTCTTCTAAAATTTTGAGATATTCAACAATCCATAACTTTGAAAGTTTATGAATTTTAATGGTTTTTTGTGAAAGAAAAAAATCTCTCATTACCATCAGATTCTTAAAATTATTATTATTATTATTATTATTATTATTGTTGTTGTTGTTGTTATATATGTAATCAATAATATGATAATATTTATCACTATTATTATAATTTTTAATAAAAATAATAATTTAAAACTAAAATATATTGACAAATTATTATAATTTTTTCTTAAATATATATTTTTATATTATGAATACTCCCTTCGTCCCAAAATTATAGTCCGAGTTTGTTTGCCACGGGATTTAAGGAATATTGATATTATATTAGTATTGACAATTGTGTAATAACAATGAAAAAGTAAGAGAAGTTTTATAGTGATACGGTTATTTATGAAAATAAGACTATTGTTTTAGAACGGACAAAAATGATAAACATATATTGGGAGGAGGGAGTATAATTTTAAAAAATATTATTATCACAATAATGTATTACTGTAATTTTTTCTTTTTAATTATCTAATATACTATATTATCATTGTGAAATAGATATTTAAATATATATTTTTTTGTTTAATTTATTTATTTATTTTAATATTTTTTTTTCAAAAATCGTAAACTATTTATTTATTTATTTTAATATAATTTTTTTTACATAAAAAGTAAATAAGTATATATTATTTATTAATATTAAATATTATCTTATTAATAATTATTTATTATATTTATAAAATTTGTTGTTTGATATAAATTTATATAATTAATATATATTAAAAAAAAATTATTTTACAATCCTATAAAATCAATATAAATCCATAAAGAATTCAATCAAATCAGTAGAAATCCATCTAAATCAATTACTCAAAACCATCAAACTTAACGTAAACTCTGTAAATTTTCTAAATCCACATAAATCCATAGACTTTTTAAAATCCAAAAAAATCCCAATTGAATACACCCCCTTATTTTAAAAAATTTAATTTATAATTATTTTTTAATTTTATTTATATTAATAAATTATTTTAATCTTAATCTATAATTATTTTTATTATATGATAATTATTTTTATTAATATATTTTTAATTATTTACTGATTATACCCATTTTAAATTCTCGTATCTTAAGTAAAATAGACAAAATATCCCGAACAGAGGGAGTAAAAATTTGAATTGAAACGATATTTGTTGTAATATAAATATGTATTTACCTTAATATGTATTCAAACAAAGCCCAAATTCAAGTCGAGGTCCAAATAAAAATAATATAATAATTGTGGATAATGATAAGATATAGATAAAATTGATAAAATTGGTAAGATTACCATATATATATATATATTATGTAGTCACGAAAAAAGAGACTCATAAACCAATTTTTCCCTTCCAATTTTTAATGCAATTTTTTCTTTTCTGTTTTGTTTGTTTCTTTTCTCTTTATTTTTTTTATTTTTTTTTTGCTTCCTTTAACATTGTCCCATTTTTATCTATTATTTGCGAATACTGTTTCAGATTTTTCGGAGAAAGTCGGAGAATCCACCCGAATCTTTTTGAAGGAAATCGGAGAATTCACCTAATTTTTTACGATTCTTTCAAAAGAATCCGGAGAATTACCTGTTTTTGACCGGCACTCCGATAAGCTGTCGATGGAATTTTTGAGCGACAATAATAATACAATATAAAATATTAACTACCATGCACAATAATTAAAAAACGCAAAAAATTTGTGTTATCCCAAACTGTTATTTGAGATGAAATGAATTGATCTGCCTAACCTAGGGAAATTGAGAATAATCAATAATTATTTTTATTATTTATTTTTGAATAATGATAAGTTATTGATGAAATAGAATCATAACTAATTTAAATTTGATTTATGTGGCTTAGGAGAAAATTCATCCAGCACCATATTTTATCATTCAATTTTTATTTTCTCTTTATTTATTTATTACTCCATCCGTTCCACATACCGTGTCCGCTACTACACCGTAGACACGGTATTAAAAGGGGTAGACACGGTATTAAAAGGGGTGTAATTAGCAGATAATTAAGAATGTATTAGTGAAAATAATTATCCTATAATATAAATAATTATAAATTAAGATTAAGATAACTAATTAGTTTAATTAAAATTAAAAAAAAAAAAAAATTAAAAAATTTAAAATAAGATTAAAGTGTGTAATCATTTTCCAGAAAAAGAAAAGTGATATGGTATGTGAGACGGACAGAAACGACAACGTGGACATGGTACGGAGAAAGTGGACATGGTACGGAGAAAGTATTTTTTTTTTCCTGCTTCGTTAATTTCTTATCTTCTTCTTCCTGGATTCTTTACTTTCTTGCTTTTTTGCATTTATTATTTTTATTGCTTTCATATTTTTCTTCCCTCTTTCTTTCGATCTTTTTTTTAAACACAGTTTTGCATCTTTTCTAAAGAAAATTGGAGAATCCACCCCAATTTCAACATGCTCGTTCCAATAAGTCGCGGGAAATATTTTTGAGCGAGAACTTGTTTTAGAGAATGTTTGATAATTGGATTATTGATTAGCTTTTAGCCTAATTGAAGTATTTGGTAAACTTAATTCTTTTGGAAGAGTTGGATAGAATCTAAAAGATTCGAATCAATCTCCACATACAAATTCAAAATGAAGAATGCAAACCAATGTTTTAAAGATATGCATTCAAAAAAAAAAAAAAAAAAAAAAAAGGAAAAAAGATCACTAATCCTAAATTGCAAAATGGAACTAACTAGAGTGAGAAAGATCTTCAAGAAATCGAAGAACAAAAAGAAATCGACAATCAAAGAATTGAAGAATTCCTATCATGTTGACAATAAAAATAAACTCCATAATATCGAATTCTTCTAACCCCATCTTCTTGATTATCGATCTTTCAAAATCCTAATCTTGAATTCGTTGGAACCTCATTTTTTTTGATCATCGGTTTTTCAAAACCCCAACCTTAATTTCGTTCGAACCCCATCTTTCTTGATCATCGATTTTTCAAAACCCTAATCTAAAATCAATTCCAACCCCATCTTTCTTGATTATTGATTTTTCAAAACCCTAATCTCAATTTGGTTCGAACCCCATCTTTCTTGATCATCGATTTTTCAAAACCCTAATCTAAAATCAGTTTCAACCCCATCTTTCTTGATCATCAATTTTTCAAAACCCTAATCTAAAATCAGTTCCAACTCCATCTTACTTCGCCATCGAATTTTCAAAACCCTAATCTAAAATTCATTAGAACCCCAATTTCTCGATCATAGAATGCTGAAAACCTAACTAAGATTCCTCCAACCCCATCATTCTTGATTATCCTACAATTGTAACTTTTCGACAATATCGGCGACGACCTCCTCGACGTTGAGGTCCTTGAGCGGCTGAAACGGCGGCTCCATAGCCATCAGAGACAAAAAGGTCTGCCCGTCGTCTCCTGCATCGCCGTCGCCGGCGACGGCCTCCCGAATCCGGAAAGACTTCTGCACCGGTCCGACCGGGTTCCGCTGAACCGCTATTCCGGGGATTGCTATTTTCAGCCCATTCTCGATTCTAGTGGCCTTGGCTTTGAACGTCCTGATCTCCTGACCGTGCTCGATTATAATCGATCGGGCGTCGCCGGCTGGTGCGGCGGCGGCGGGGGCGGATTCTACGGCGGCGGAGGAAGTGGAGGCCGTGGCGGTGCCGGAGGTGGACGCTTCGGAATTGGAGGCGGAGGTTTTCTTCCTCTTCTTGGGAGGGAGATGTTTTAGGCTATCGTCAGAGATGTCGTGGATCTCGGCGGCGTCTTCGGCGATGGACTTTCTTTTGGCGGCGGCGCCTCGGGTTTCTACGGTGGGGCCAGTCGGCGGCGGCGGCGGCGGCGGCGAAGGGGGGCCGCTGCTTCTGGTTTTTGGCGGCATTTGAAGCTCAAATGAAGGCCTTTGGCACTGTTTAATGTTTCTTTAATTTCTTTTTGTTGAATTAATCGAAATGGAGGAGAGAAATCAAGGAAATAAGAATTGTTTTAATTTTCTTGGAGGAAAGGGGGGTTGAAGATCGATGAGAATGTTCTTAATTCGAAGCCTTTGTCAAACTGTCATTTGTCTTCTTCCTTTTTTTATTAGTGTTTTCAGAAATGATCTGGTTCGTTGGATCATTTTTGGACGGTTACGATTGCTGGTAGTTAAATCGAACTCTTAGGCCAAAGGTAAAGGGGGGAGAGAGAAAGGACAAATATTTTGGACTTCTTATTTGCAAGTAGGGAAAGGAATTTTGGATATGTTTCTTTATCCATCAAACCCCAAATTTCAAGATTTTATTTTTTATTTTTTATTTTTATTTTACAAAATATTTTGTTATTCATTATTTTAATATTAAATTTAAATATATTTTTTTTAAACCAAATCAAAAGAATCAAAATTAAATATTAATAACAATACATGGTAATAAACTAGATAGTGCATTTACAATTCGTATTGGTATAAAAATGGGTTCAAACGAACACGAAATTAGGATTTTTGAAAATTTGATGATCAAGAATGATGGGGTTTGAATGATATTAAAATTAGAGTTTTGAATAACAATCCATGATCAAGAATGATAGGGTTTGAACGATTTTGAGGTTAAGGTTTTGAACAACAATCCATGATTTTGAAATTAGAGTTTTGAACAACAATCCATGATCAAGAATGATGTGGTTTGAACGAATTTGAAATTAGGGTTTTGAACAACAGTCCATGATCAAGAATGATGAGGTTTGAACAGTTTTGAGATTAGAGTTTTGAACAACAATCCATGATCAAGAATGATGGGGTTTGAACGATTTTGAGATTAGAGTTTTGAATAACAATCCATGATCAAGAATGATGGGGTTTGAATGAATTTGAAATTAGGGTTTTGAACAACAATCCATGATCAAGAATGATGGAGTTTGAACGATTTTGAAATTAAAGTTTTGAACAAGAATTCATGATCAAGAATAACGTGGTTTGAACGAATTTGAGATTAGGATTTTGAACAACAATCCATTATCAAGAAAGATGAGGTTCGAACGAATTTGAGATTAGGATTTTGAACAACAATCCATGATCAAGAATGATGGAGTTTGAGCGATTTTGAGATTAAGGTTTCGAATAATCCATGATCATGAATGATGGAGTTTGATCAAATTGGAGATAATTAGGATTTCGGACAATCCATGATCAATGTGCGTTTCTTTGACCGTCAGGCATGATAGTTTATTTAACTCTTGGGCTTTCTTTCATTCTTAACACATTTTCCATTTTCAATTTTCAAATGTTTAAATTTCTTCAAGTTCAAATTTTCAAAATTGCTATATTGATGTTATAGTGGATTTTTTTTTTTTTTTTGATTCTTTACTATATAACAATCATGATTCTATGAAGACATATATAACACTCCTTTTGTCCTAGAATAGATGAACCATTTGTTTCGGATACGATTATTTAGTTAGTGTAAATTAATAAGTTATAATACTCCATCCGTCCCACATAATTTGTCCATATTTTTTATTTTCGTTCATCCCACATAATTTGTCATTTCTATTTTTGGAAATATAATTATGCACTTTAGTCGCATTTTAAATTTTATAATTTTTTTAATTTTAATTAAACTATTTACTTATTTTAATCTTAATCTATATTTATTTTTACTAAATAATAATTATTTTTACTAATATACTTCTTAATTACTTACTAATTATACTTTATCTAAATTCCCGTGTCTACAGTAATACACTCATATTACATGGGACGGAGGGAGTATTATTTTATTATTTTTCTATATGAATAGTATTGTTGCAATTTTAAAAATGTGAATTAATATAATATATCATTAAAAGAAATTTAGAATATGTGTTTTAATTTTTTTCGCATTATATCTCAATAAAATATCTATAAATATTAATATTATTTTGTAAATAATAAAATTTTATATAATATAATCTAAATAATATATATTTATTTATTTGTAAATAATAAAATTTTATATAATATAATCTAAATAATATATATATTTATTTATTTGTAATCAACTTAAACTACTTTTATAAAAACAATGAGAAATTTTAAATATAGATAAAAAATATTTATTTATTAAAAAGAGATAGAAATAAATGAGTTTTAAGCAGGATCTATATATAAGATCTTATAAATTTAATTTACTTAATTTATATTTATTAAATAGGAATACCTTTACTAAAAATGGGTCATTTGTTATGGTACGGAAAAAAAAAAGAAAAGAAAAGAAAAGATCATTTGTAGCTGGACGAGCGAGTCTATTATTTTCTCACATAATTTTAAAATGAATGATATTCCCTTCCTTTCATATCTATCTATTCATTTGCTTTTTACACGAATTTTTTAAAATATTAGTATTATATTGGAATATAGTATAAATAAAAATAAAAAGATTAAACTAACTTTATTAATATTATATGATATAAATGTAATAATATTTGTGTAATATATTGTAAATTGAAAAAATATTTAAAATATTAGTAGACAGTACAATTATTAAAAAAAAAATCTTTATAATGATACAAATTAAAATAAAAAAATAAATAAATTATTAAGAGACATATAAAATATTATTTAATTAGCATGAGACTGACAGTACGTAACTCATACTATTTTCATCATAATTACACATTGTGTGATTGAGTATATATATTTATATCTCAAGTGTAAATCCATATATCCAATAAAAAAGACAAAAATTCATAATTAACAAAAAATTTGATTTTATTTTCTTATCAGCATTAAAATCTGCCCACTTAAAGGGTATTTGTTTGGGGGTTTGAATTTTAAATTCACTATTCATCTCATTTTTTTTTTTAAATATCAAATTAAACATTTACTTTTTTATTTTTTTTATAGGGTAAACTGTTTTTTAGTCCTGTAATTGGACCCCCTTATCATTTTAGTCTCGTAAGTGGAGTCTATCGCAAACTAGTCCCATAAGTGAAAAAATTTCGCTGTTTTAGTCCTCCGGCGCCGGAGACGCCCGCGTGGCTAGCCGGAGGTGACGTGTCTGCCAGGTGTCCCGCCAGGTCAGCGACACCTGACGGACACGTGGATTTATTTATTTTTTTTTCAATTTTTTTAAAAATTAAATCAAATTAAAAAATTAAAAATAAATTAAAAATAAGTTTTAAAAAAAATTTTAAAAAATAAAAATAAATAAAAAAATCCACGTGTCCGCCAGGTGTCGCTGACCTGGCGGACACGTCACCTCCGGCGAGCCACGCGGGCGTCTCCGACGCCGGAGGACTAAAACAACGAAAATTTTTCACTTATGGGACTAGTTTGCGACAGGCTCCACTTACGGGACTAAACTAATAAGGGGTCCAGTTACGGGACTAAAAAAACAGTTTACCATTTTTTATATTATACTAAAAATCAATTTTACATTTAAAATATTACATCAACACTTGTTTATAACAGCATACAATCATTCAAATTCAAAATTTTTAATATTCAAATCTCAACTCAAAATTCAAACCCCCAAAGAAACAGACTGCGGTATAGATATAGAGGTTTTGAGACTTTGAAAAATTTTGGAACTGATGTTTTGTTTGATTGTTTTCTTTAAACTACAGTTGTTAAATATTAATGTTACTTTTTTTTTTTTTTTTCGAAAAAATATAGTATATATAAAAGAGAGTCTAAATTAAATATTCACTACCTCGTGTTTTTAATTAATTAATTAAATTTGAAATTATATGACTTATCATAAAAAATAAAACGCGATAGGCATGAATGTACACAATTTTGTCAAGATGCATTTCAAACAAAAAAATCGAACAAAAGATCACTAGCCCTAAATTCCAAATTGGAACTAACTAGAGTAGAGCTGACAATGGGATGATTCGTGTCGGGTTGAATACTTTAAACCGTTAAATTACTCAACCTTAACTCGATCCGTTTATAATCGTGTCGGGTTCAAGTTGATCCGTTTATTATCGTGTCGGGTTCGGATTGACTCGTATTGACCCGTATACATAATGAAGTCGAATTTCTTGTTCAAATTAAATAATTTTTTGTTGTGCTGTTGTGTTATGTTAGCTTTTATTAGTTTGAGCGTAAATTACGTTGAATTATTTAAAATTGAACTTAATTTAAATTAATTTATGAGAAAATTATTAACTTATGATTATTTTACATATATAATAAATATATTAATCAATATTAATATATTATAATCGGGTTGTCGTGTCGGGTTCGAGTTGAGAGCTAGTCTCAACCCTAACCCGACTCGTTTACTATCGTGTCGGGTTCATGTCAACTCGTATACATAATCGGGTTGAAATTTTTGACCCACATCCAATTATTTTGTATCGAATCGTGTCGAGTTGTCGTGTTGGGTCAGTTTTTGCCAGCTCAAAATTAGAGTGAGGAAGAACTTCAAGAAATCAAAGAACCAAAGAAAATCGAAAATCAAAGAATTGAAGAACCTATCATGAAGACAATCAAAAGAAACACCCAATGATATGATCATGGATTGTTCAAAATCCTAATCTAGAATTATTATCAAATTCTCAAAACCCTAATTTCGTATTCGTTTGAACCCCAATTTTCTTGATAATGGATTCTTCAAAACCCTAATATCAAATTCATTCCAACCCAATCTTTCTTGCTCATCCATTTTTCCAAAACACTAATCTCAAATCCGTCCGAACTCCATTTTTCTCGATCATTGGTTTCGTTCAATCTTTCTTGATCATCGATTTTTTTCAAAACCCTAATCTTGAATCCATCCGAACCCCAATTTTTTCAATCATCAATTTCTCAAAACCCTAACCTCGGATTCTCCGAACCCCATCATTCTTGATCCGGCGGTTGTAACTGTTTGACGATGTCGGCGATGACCTCGTCGACGTCGAGGTCCTTCATCGGCTGAAACGGCGGCTCCATATCCATTAAAGAGACGAAGGTCTGGCCGCCGTCGACGGCCTCCCGAATCCGAAAGGACCGCCCGTCCGGTTCTTCCGGGTTCAGCCGGACCGATAGACCGGGGATCGCTTTTCTCAGCCCTTTCTTGATTTTATTGGCCTTGGATTTGAACGTCGTGATCTCCTTGCTGTGCTCGATTATAATTGCTCCAGCGCCGCCGCCGCCGGCGTCGGATTCGACGGATCTGGCGGAGGAGGTGGAGGCGGTGGCGGAGGAGGTGTCGCCGGAAGTTTTATTCCTCTTCTTGGGAGTGAGATGTATGTCGTCGGAGGGTTCGTGGAGGACGGCGGCGCCTTGGGCGGTGGAGCTGCGAGTGGCGCGAGCCCTTTTTTTGGCGGCGCTCCGGGTTTCTACGCTGGGGCCTGGTGACGGAGGGAGCGGCGGCTGCGGCGGAGGCGACGTCGGAAGCGGCGGCGACGGCGGCGGCGGAGACGTCGGAAGCGGCGGCGAAGGCGGCGGCGGAGACGTCGACGGCGGCGATGACGGAGGCGGCGGCGGCGGCGCTGAAGGGCCGGCGGTTTTGGGTTTAGGCGGCATTTGAAGCTCAAATGGAGGCGTTTGGTAATGTTTATTTTGATTTCTTTTTTCTTGAATTAATCGAAATGGAGGAAAGAAATTGAAGAAAAAAGATCGATGAGAATGTTCTTAATTCGAAGCCTTTGTCAAACTGCCATTTGTCTTCTTCCTTTAGTTATATAGTGTTTTCAGAAATGATCTGGTTCGTTGATTGGGATTGGATAATTTTTGGACGGTGGAGATTTTCGGAAAATAATAGGAAATCAAGAAAAATTCATAAGAACACTAAAATTTTGTTGATCAGAATAATTTACGTCGGATGGCTAACAAGATATTTGTATTAGTAATTTCAAAGTGTTAACTATAGCTAAATTCGGTATAATTACTATTCCGATGTCACTCTGATTGAAAATATATTTTCGATACTAATTGGTGTTTTTCAAATTTTAAATATTTGATATATAATGCTTAATTAATTTTTTTATTATAATTGTATTACCTATATTTTTTAAAGATAAAAATTCTCTAGATTAATCTTAAACTCAAAACGATTTAAGGCGAGATTGAGCAGAGGTAGAGCGGAGAACAATTTTGAACTAATCTCGTTGTCATCCCTATATTTAAAATTTTGTTTATTTGAACTTCGATTTTGTATTTTATTTTTTTTAAAAAATAATTTTTATGCCTTCAATAAATTATGCTGTTAGTTAATAACCATTCATTATCTTGTTAGATTATTTGTGAACTAAGCATTTGTTTAAACAACATTATATGTTGCATGCGATTTTGTTAAATATTATGATAAATTTTATTTCAATTTATATTCGGATCTAACTTAATCATGTTCATCAACACTAATGCTAATATATATATTGTTATATTTTACAAAATTTCGGAATTGTATATTATTAATAATGAAATAAGAGCTTATAAATAGACGCAATACAAATTCGATTGACTCAAATACTAATAAGCTAATCTAGACACTAAAATCTATTCTAAACTACAGACTAAATATCTAAAATATTTCTAACATATATCATAAAAAATTTAGACAAATATATTTAATTTTAGACATGGCCATATTCATGTCGACAATTAGGACATCGCGAGTCGCGAGCGCTCATCCACCGGGTGATGCAATCCTTGTGATAACCATGGCCGCAAGCGGGAAGCTTAAGTATAATTTCTCCTTGTTCGAATTCTTCCAAACATATATGACATTCGGTGAAGCAAAATATGTTGTCCAGAGGAGGAAATGTTACCAAAGGAAACGAGTCGATTAAGCTTATATCGAGCTTTCTTACAACATTTGTCATGTTGGGCTCGTCTAGCTCCGATGTATGCATTTCTCTTTCCCCACATAGTTTGATTTTCAGACAAATGCACACGAAGATTACGATTGTTAGCACAAGGTAACCTAGGAGGGCGATGAGCGTCCTTCGTTGGTATCTTTTTTGCTCCGGTGATTCGTAGTTTAAATCGGTTGCCTCCGCCGAACTTGTAAGGAGAAATAAAAGTATTTGAATCGATAAAGACTCGTTAACCTGTATTATAATATAGAAAATGGACTTAATTAACATCAATTTTAATTATATATTTTTTTCTCTAATCCATTGAATTCGATAAATTTTCGTTGTTCCGTAACTAGTCCCGTCTCCGGCGTCAGAGGACTAAAACAACGAAATTTTTTCACTTATGGGACTAGTTTGCGACATACTCCACTTACGGAACAAAAATGATAAGGGGGTCCAGTTACGGGACTAAAAAAAACAGTTTACCCATTTATTTTATATGTCTAGTTAATTTTTTAGAGAAGAATGCAATTTTAGTCTATGATCTCTTGTAATTTTAATGATTTGAACAGATTGTGTGTAGAAAAGTTTCATACATATGACTTATTGTTGTTGAAAAGGTCATTATTGTCTTTTTCTTCTAAAAATTTTAAAAATTTAAAATGAATTTTGTTTGGGGTTTGAATTTTGAATTGGGTTTGAACAATAAAAAAATTTAAATTGGAATATTTGTATGATTTGATATAAATGAATATTAATGTGATGTTTCGAATGTAAAATTAATTCTTAGTATACTTAAAAAAAAAATGAAAAATAAGAATTTGACTTGATGCCTTTGAACGGAAAAAATTGAATGAATAATAAAAATTTGAAATTTTTTTTTCCAAACAAACACACCATAAAAGTATGATTATATACTATTTTTGATAAAAAGTAAAATTCTTCTTTATGTCTATATCGATTATTTTTCAATCTATTTACAGAAATAAGTGGTGATAACATGTGTTCTACAATTCTTTTGTGTTTTTATTTTCTAAAATTCTGAAAGTAAAAAATACTTTTTATATGAACAAATGGTTGTTGGAAGTGATGCTTTTGTATGGAAAATATGTGAATGAAACCGAAAATAGGAAATGAAAACAGGATAACACAATCTTAATTTTATTTATTTTTACTTGAAATTCAATATAATTGGATTAATAAGTCCATACACACATATATGTACAAATATACTCCCTCCGTCTCAGAAGAGATATCTCGTTGAAAATTGGCATGAGAATTAAAGAATAATAATATTTAATTGAAAATGGATATAAAGTAGAATATAAAAGACTAAATTGCCCTTACTTTTTTAAATCTTCAAAAAGTAGATTAGAGTAATAATTAGAGATAGTTTGGAAAAATAGCTACAATTTCGTTATAAAGTGGGGACCACAGTTACTAAATAAGAAAACAAGACAATTGTTTTGAAACCGATAAAAATGGACAAACAAGACAACTCTTTTGGGACGGAGAAAGTATTATGTAATAAAAACATGTATTCTTTATTCAAAATTACAAGTTTGCTATATAAGAGTATGCCGTATAAGAGTATACCGTGTGCTAAAATCAACTGTTGTGTGTTGTATGAAACTATAACATGTATTGTTAGTTTATGTACTGTATTTATATTATATTAACATATACACTATTTGTAATAATACTGTATATTAGTAGCACATAGTGCGCTGTCAGCACGGTGCTGAACCCCATCGTATATATATATATATATCATGTTACTCAACTTGTAATCCCTAAACCCTAAATTTCGTATTCATAAAAACAACACTTGAAAGAATAAATCAACCTGGAAAACTCGGTCGAAAGTTGCTTTTCGGTTGAAGGAATCCATGCGCGAATACAATCAAACAAACACAAAAGAAATTCCGATTCAATATCCACTTTGATTTCTTTGGTCTGAATTCGAGATTCGGAAATTGTTATGAAGTAAGAAAAACATCGAAAGAAGAAGAATGTAGGAGCAAAAGCTAAAGTATTTCTTAGTTATGCCATATGTGTATATATAGTTGTGAGAATAAGATACATTCAATGCTTAATTAATTAATAAAGTGTTGAAATTATAAGTTTATTTATTTATTTATTTTTATAATTACGTCGGTGAAAAAAAAATAAAAAAATAAAAAAATTAGAGCTATTTAACCACATAAGAAATATGTCGAATTATATACAAAAATATGTTAAAAACTTGTGTATAATATATACAGTTGAATCATATCGAACTATTATTTAATTTTTTCTTTAACATTTACACGTTGAATAATTAAAGCGTATATATAGACAAAGGATAATTGATTCATTGTATAAATATGCTAAATGACGAAAACATCGATGAAATATACACAAAAATTATATTTAGTTAAAGTTTATATATTTTAGTTTTAAGTTTCGGTTTAAATTATTATATAAATGAAATATTTTGTGAGAAAATATTATATATTATTATAAAGATTGTAAGAATATAGTAAAAAAAAATTAAAAAATATATATATATCAAAGAAAACCGAGCCGTAATGTTTGGTCTTCTAGTACGAGATTCGGATCGAGTAATGGATATATATATATATATATATACATAGTTATTATATAATTTTTGAGGTTAAAAACCATCGACATTGTCAAGACAACAATAAAATTTTAGTGAAGGTCGATCTTTACAAAGACACATTATTTTGAATATATATTAGGACACAGCCAAAAAGAAGACATCCCGACAATCAATGTTTCTTAGGGTTCGAAAATTATTTTATGTTTCAAAGAGAAAATGACACAATGGTGTGTTTGGTTGGTTATTTTATTCTTAACATTTTCACTTTTGCTAATTTTATTTTTTATTTTTTATTTGTCTCCATTTAAATAAATTTTTTTGAAATTTGAAAATAAAAAAAGTTAGTATTTTTAATATTATGTATTATTGCAATTCTTTATAAAATACTACTTCCGTCCAGCTCTAAAGGTCACAATTTTTTTTTTTATGTTGATTTTTGAATATTAATTATTATATCAAAATATAGTACAAATTAAGAAAAAATTGAAAAAATATTTTCATTATTGTCTTATAATACTAATAGAATGATATTTGTACAAAAAAAAATTATACAAATATAAAGATATTTTTACTGTTAAGTACAATGGCGTAAAAAGTAAATGCGATCTTTAGAGGCGGACGGAGGGAGTATATAATTAAAAAGATCATATTAATATTTAAATTAAATCTTGAATAATAAAAACTTAATATTTGATATATGTACATATGATATTTTGTGAAATATAAATATTTGATATGATATGTAAAAAAATTTATGTAGTTGAATAGAGCTAAAAATAAAAAAAATATCTTTAATCTCATATATTTTTTTGAGAATTATTTGTATTTTGACTTTTAAGTTTGATTTGAATAATGAATTAATGGATTTGTTCTTTTATTATTTTAAACTATCAATATTATTCATTCTTTACCGTTTTTTAATTAAAATACACTCTCTCCGTCCTACGGCAAAATATTTATTTTTTCATTTTAGTCCGTTGCATAACAAAGTATCAATTTTTTTTAGTAACTGTATTATCTACCTAACATTATAAATACCATTACATCTTATAATATATTACACAAATGTCATTACATTTATATCACACGTACTAATAAACTTATTTTAGTCATTTATAATTTATTTTTACTATATCCCAATATAATACTAATATTTTTAAAACTACGTGAAAAAAAAAATGTATATTTACTTAATAAAGACATTTAATTAATATTCTATTTTAAAAAATACAAGTAATTAAAAAGGTACATATATAATCCTATATAATTAAATGATCCTTTTTTTTTTTTTTTTTTTTAATTTTTATCCACAATTCTTTTGTTAGACAGAGAAGAACTTAATAACAAAATTGAAAAAAAAAAAAAATTTCCAAATAAGCATGAATTTTTGGCTCTGTTTATTCATATACCTTTAGAAATATTTTATCAATGATATGTTTTCAATATGTTATCAATGATATGTTTTCAATATGTCAAATTAAATTATATATTTATCTAACAAAACATGATATAAATGTGAAACATGATATTAATGTGCTCACTTTATATTTTTAGATTAATGTATTTTTTTATATTAGATATATAAAATTATAAAAAATAATATTCTCTCTGTCCCAAAATTATAATTTGAGTTGTATTTGACACGATATTTAAGGAATATTGATATTATATTGATAGCGGGTAAAAAGTACGGATAGAAGACTATTTTACCCTTGTGAGTGTATTAGTGTAAAAAGTAGCTACAATTGTATAATAATAATAAAAAAGTAAAGGTAATTTTACAGTGATATGATTATTTATGAAAATAAAAATATTGTTTTAAAACAAAAAAAAATGATAAATATGACTATTATATTTGGATACTACTTTCTTTTTTAAAGAGTTTCTTGCAATAAAAAAAATCGAGTAGTATAAATAATAAGCATACGAGCCCTAAGTGTAATATTTTAGTAAACAAATAGTATTTAATAAAAAATGATATTTAATGTAATATATATATATATTAAAAAAATATTATATGAATAAAAAAATTTGATAAAAATTTAAGATTTGTTTAGTTTATAATTGACAAAAATTGAAACGATATGATAATTGGACACAAAATGATTAGGTGTAAGCTTTCGATCTAATTATATAAAAGGATCGATATAATAATAAATATGTCGCGTCGGATTAGGATTGAAGGCCTCAACTTAAATCCAATACGGAAATTCAATAATAAATATATTAATATTAATTAATATATTTATTATATATGTAAGGGTGTGTTTCTTTAAAAGAAGAGTTTGAGAAAAGTTGAATTTGTGTTTGATTTTTATTTAAATTTTGGGATGAGTTTAAATTTTATTGTTTTTTTTGTGTTTGAGTTTGGTTAGGGTTTGAGAAGTTTTGATGTGTATTGATTTGATGGATAATGAATAAAATAATATAAATGTGTATTAAATTTAATTTATATTGTATGATTTGATTATGAATTTACCCAACATATATATTTAAATTTTTATTTATTTTTATTATAAAAATTTTTATTTTCTACCGAATGACATATATATTGTATATATATTTTTTACTGTGAAAGTGCACAGTAAAATTGGGCAAACCACATTGGAGAAATATACCCTAAATATTAATATAAATTCAACACAATTGTTTGTTTGGAGGTTTGGATTTTGAATTGAGATTTGAATAATAAAAAAATTTTGAATTAAATAGTTGTATGATGTGATATAAATAGGTGTTGATGTGATATTTTGAATGTAAAATTGATTTTTAGTATAATATAAAAAAATAAAAAATATGTATTTGATATGATATTTTTTGGGAGAAAAAATTGGATGAATAGTATAAATCCAATCCAATCCCCCAAACAAACACACCCTAAATGTATACTATTATTTTAGATTGATTTAATGACTTTTAGTTTTACTTTAAATTGATTATTTGATTATTTTTTAATTTATGGAATTTTAATTTTTTTTAAAAAATGGTTAAACAAAATGATTTCGGGTTAATCGGGTCGGATTCTGGTCGGATCATATAAACTATTTAGAAAATTATTAAATTGAGTTAACAAGTCAATTTTCGAATTGATCAAGTTTGAACAAACTTATTTAAAAATTTAACTCAGACTCAGACTTATCGTTAGCTTAGTTTGTATTTTGTATTATATTTTTTTTTTCTTGTTTTTTTGCATGAGGAGCTTTATAAAAAATACTCGTCATAACTATGTATCTATTTGCTTTTTGCACAGAGTTTTAGAAATATTAGTATTATATTGGGATATAGTAGAAATAAAGTAGAAAGGACTAAAATGACCTTATTAATATTGTGTGATATAAAAATAATAGTATTTGTGTAATATATTGAAAGTTGTAAGGGTATTTGTAATATTAGGTAGATAGTACATTTACTTAAAAAAAGGAAATGAATACTTTTGTTATAAGATAGACCAAAATAAAAAAATAAATACTTTGTTACGGGACGGAGGGAGTAATAATTTTTTGAAAGTTGATTTTATAAAAGAATGTGTTATTATTTTGAATGCGGGGAATTTAAGCTTTGTTTTTTGTTTTTTTTTCTCACGTATATTTTCTAAAAAAAATTAATACACTACGTATATTTATTATTTTTATGTTCCTTACATAATTTTTTATATTTTACTTTACATAAAAAAATTTGTTTTCTAACAATAACAAAACCACACCCTAGACTTTGTTTTTTTATATATTTTTTTTCACATAATTTTTTTTTTTAAAAAATAATACATTGTAAATATTTTATTATTTTTATATTTTATATAATTTTTTCTATCAATAATCTTACAAAATAAGTATTTTATAATCGAATATAATATATTCCCTCCCTCTATTCTACAACAAGGATAATATTTTTTATTTTTGTTCGTCCCAAAATAACGATACCATAAGTATTACCTAACCTAACATAATATCTTTACAACTTTTAATATATTACACAAATATCGTTACTTTTATTTCATTATACACAGTAAATATATTTTTTCCCGATAAACATAGACTTCAAACAGTAAAACATGGAATTTGGCGGCTAAGGAAATACACAGAATAAAAAACAAACAAACACTACCGAAAGCTTTTTCACCCTCTTTTCAACGCTAATGGCTACCGCTTGCCCGTAACACGTGTTACACTTGCACTCCCCACCCAGCTCCTATTTTCGGCAGAGACCCATTTCCACGCTCTATACCATTTACCCCAACCGATGTAATCTCCAGTTCCTCTCTGAAGAAAAATGGTTGCCGGGAAGTCTTCGGAGTCGCTGCCTCCTGGATTCGCCGAGAAGATCAAGTACAAAAACGGGAGAAAAATCAAGGTATTTCACCTTTCTCCGTTTGGTCAGTGTTGAAATTAGGCCAATTTCTTCGTCTTGTATCAGATTGACTAGGGTTTCGGCAGTGTCTATTAGAACTGAAAAATTGATTCTTAGGTTTAGCAAAATTCGGAGTTATATATTGGATCTGAAGGATAACAACGTCGAATTTAGCAATTTCGGTGGGAATTTCTGTAGGTGTATGTTGAAATTGAAGTGGGGAAGGTTTGAATGTATTTTGACTTTAACGATGCGAGAGTTGATGTTAAATGAGTTTCCATTTCAGTGCCCTGACAGACACAAGTTCTTCATCTTTTGTTCCTGTTCATTAATATTGTTTGTTGTTATCTTCTCCGAGAATCTGATTTCTGGAATAGAATCTTAGCATTGTTTTGTACTCTCCAGCCAATTATTTCGCAGATTGTTATTTGATAATTTGCCATTCAATGTTGAAGAGAAGCACCCGCTTGTATATATATATATATGTGTGTGTGTGTGTGTGTTTGTTTGGTTTTTGTTGTTTTATTTGGGCGAAATATTGATGTGGATGTTTCGAAACGAAAAATGAATATGGAATTCGACTACCTTGTTAGCATGTTTGTGTGTTTGGTTGTTGTAGTTCTACTTCAATGCTGTATCGGGTGTGAAGTATTATTCCAAGAAGGAGCTTCTTCGTGCGACTACAGAAGAAAATGGTCTCGCAGCTCAAACAAAAAAAGGCAATGGCGATGGGGGGGGTCGCTCTAATAAAAATGTTGATGCTGTAAGTTTTCGAACTGATAATTTTCTTCAGGTATTCTTCTTATTTGGTTTATATGCTAATACAATGATATGTATTTTTTTATAATTCCGATGAATAGGTACCGGTCAGAATAGATGAAACTTCTCAAGGGTTGCCTGAGGGATGGATAATGGAGGAGAAAATGCGGAATGGCAGCACAAAGAAGGGGTCTGCTTACAAGGTTTATTCTATACCGACAGTTTACTTTTCATTTCTATTCTTTTCCAATATAATGCTTTACTTTTCGGCAATATTGTATAATGCCCCCTGTGGTCTACCAAAAAATCATCATTTTCACCTATTGTTTAAAATTTGCTTGAGTACCATTTGTGTTCTGTAAAACTGCATGTGTTCCAAATGCTTAAGCTACAATTGTAATTGCGCTTTTCACTAATTAGAACCATTTATCGTAATTGCAGTTTTCCATGTGAGACATATTATCCCTTAAATTTTTACTAGAGTTGTGTTCTTTTGTGGTTCTTTTTTATCCCTAAGTTTTTGTCGGCGTGTTTCTGCAGATTCATACATTTTAAATTTACATCTTAGTATGATTGTGGTTGTTTATACCAAGGGAACAAATTCATATAGATTTTATGGTCAATTTTTATCTGTGTTTGTTTGCCTTCATTTTTGTCTGAATTCATTTCATTGCAGAACTAGTTTTCTAAGACGCGTCATTATGTTGGATATTTGATTGAATTGTATTATAACTATGGTGACCATTCAATTTTCGTTTCTGTGTACCATGTTTCATTTTGCTGCAAAAATCTTAAAAAGCTTTGTTTAAAATGGATGAAGAAGCGCTGCAAACAGTTGGATTTTGTACTGACGGCATGTTTTTGTTTTGTGTCTTTTCCTTAATATTTTTTGCAGGTGTATACTCATTTGTCTTCTGGAAAAAAATTCTACTCCATGGCCACCGTGACTCAATATTTAAACACTTTAGACGGCAAAAACAACGTGACTGCACAAGATGAAGTAAGCATTGTTGTTTTAAGACTTTTTGGCACCTCAGAAAGTTTAATTTGCTCCATTTTTTCTCCTAATCAAATACATATGCATTTAGTCTATCAACATCTACAGGAATTGTAGAGCTATTATGGGGGAACCATTGAATCATTCTTAAGGCGATTATGTATTCCAAGGCGTAGACAAAAATGGGTGTTTTTGTTTGGGGATTTGGATTTTGAATAGTAAAATTTTAAATTGGAATAATTGTTTGATGTGCTATAGGTGTTGATGTGATATTTTGAATGTAAATTAATTTTAGTATAATATAAACAATGAAAAATATGTATTTGATTTGATGTTTATGGAGAAAAAATTCTGGAGGAATAGTAGAAATCTCCCAAAATCCCCCAAACAAACACCCAATTATGATGCATATTCATATGTTCTAGATTTTGCCTTGACAAAAGGAACTTTGATTTCCGATGATGAACATTAATGAATTGTTATTTCAAAAAGGATGTAAAAGGGGAAGGAAATAAACTCTTCGGTACACCTCAAACAGTCAATGGTGATGACAATGATCTCACTTACAATAATGAGGCCGATGCTGTAAGTTTTCAGAGTGATGATTGTAGTTGCATATTGCTTCTTCAAATTCTTTGTGTCCTTTATATATGAAATTACTTTATTTTGTTTCTTCCCGGTTTCGAGCCACAGGCGGTAGTTGAAGCAGAAGATTCGCCCAACTGGTTGCCAGAAAATTGGATAATGGAGGTGAAAACACGGCAGAATGGCCGGACTAAGGGAGTAACTTACAAGGTATTAATACAAAATCAATCAAGTTTACCAATGTGCCTTCAATATATATATATGTACGGGTTCTGTTCTATTGAAGTAAGATTTCAATCGATCTATTGGTGTTTGGGAAGTAAAAACGGCCTTCATCAGTAAAATAACCTGAGCATATATTGTTTGTCATTTGTATATGTCCTAAATATCGAGAACAGTTCATTGTGATTAGATTCCCTGCAATTGTCTTGTTATGTTACATTGCCATTGTTTAATGGGAACTAGTTAAATTTAATTTATTATCGACTAATATTTATGTATTGATTTTCTTGCATACATACAGGTGTATATTGAGTGGTCAACTGGAAAAAAGTTCTATTCAAAGGCTGCGGTGACTCATTATTTGAAATCTGTTCGAAACAAAGTGAGTGTAAAATCTCTTCCGAATTTTTGACACAATAACCTTTATTGTATTTTCTTACCTTCATATTTTCTATATACATCGCCATTAACCAAAAGAAATTTGATGTTTTTATAAAATATCTTGGCAAAAGGATGTCATGAGTAGTGGCACAGCTGATGAAGAACTCCACAGCACACCTCAAACCAAAAAACGTAACAGGAATGCCCTTTCTGTTGATAAAAATTCCAGTGGTGTAAGTTCTGAGATCGTTGCCTCTACATCTGTTCTCCACCTGTCCTGTAATATAAATATGCATTCTCTCTCTTCGCCACAGGTACCGGTAAAAACAAATGATTCTTCTAAATGGTTGCCGGAAGGATGGATAGTGGAGGAAAAACCTCGGAGCAGTGGCTCGAGCCATGGATCAACTTACAAGGTGGATTATATACCTATTTTCAATCTCCTTATTTGCTGATTATAAAGTTGTGATAGAAAAATTCAATGGCTAAAGAAATTACATTACCATTTTCTTTTTTTGTAATTATGAGTTCCATATAAATTCAAAACTTTCTAAATTAGGTGTTGGGCAACTGTTTTGTTATGCTAAATTGCCATTTCTAAATGGAAGATTGGCTGTTCACATATTGACAGATACTGGTATCTCTGTTTTCTTATGTTCTTGCAGATATATATTGATCCATCATCGGGAAAGAAGTTTTATTCAAGGAATACCGTGGTTCAATATTTAAATACCATCAGTCATAAACACACCCCAACAGTACCGAATGAAGTAAGCACACGATCTCTTTGTAGGGTGTGTTTGTTTGTGGGTTTGAATTTTTGATTGGGATGTGAATAGTAAAAATTGAATTTGAATAGTTATATGATGCGATATAAATATGCGTTGATATTGTGTTTTGAATGTAAATATAATTTTTAGTGTAGTATAGGAAATGAAAAAAATAAATGTTCGATTTGATATTTTTGGGGGGAAATTTTTTATGAATAGTAGAAATCCGAAAAAATCTGATAAAAGAACACACCCAAACCTACTAATTTCGAATTTTAAAAATGCCCTTTCGTTATTTGAGTGAGTTTTCAATTTGTTTACATTGCATATGAATATGTGGTTTGGTTGGATCCCTATTCTGGTTCATAGAAATTGCAGAATTATCTTTTGACACAATAACATTTTTGATTCCACGAGAAAACCCAATTTCAACAATTTTGGCACATAACTGGGATTTATTTCAATTCGAATCTAATCTGCATAAATTTGATAACTACTGCAGGTTTTGGACAGCGGAACGCCAGAAAAGGTTGTGGCATATAAATTGGCAAAGAGACGACTCATCGAAATTCTATGTTATGAAACTAAATTGAAATCAAGCCATTCTAATAATGCTAGTTTCTGATCCTTTTTGTAAAATATTTAAGGAGATTATTATCGGCACGGTCATATATTCTATACACCTTCCATTGACAAAACTAATATGCATGATCATTGCAGAAGGACAGCATAGATTGTACACCTCAAGCAATGGATGGTGATGATGTTGACATTGACATTGATCATATCCTTTACGCCGATGAAAATGTCGGCAGTGTAAGTCTCAAAGCTGTTGCATTCACATTTAATCTCCATCCACCCTTTAGTATGAATTCGCATTCTTTCTTGTCCACAGGCATCCGTGAAAACTAATAATTCTTCTCAATGGTTGCCCGAAGGATGGACAGTGGAGGAAAAACCTCGCCAGAGGGGATCAAGTTATAAGGTGTGTTCATTTTATTGTAATTACATAAGAAATTTTGTGTTTATCTGTTTCACGATCTCCTTGTTTAGGGGTCGTTATTTTTTTGGCTATGTTCTTAAAAGAACTCACCCTTTAATTTTCATCGTCGGTTGCAGCTACTAAGAAATATACAATCTCAGCTCATAACTTTTGGTTGTTTTACTTTTGACATTGTTTTAGGTGGTATAATTTCGTTAGACTTTGGTTCGTTTTGTCTTTAGTTTTTTTGTCTGGATATATATTTTTTTTGTATAAATTAGTCAAAATGTATATAGAAGGGTAAAACTATAAAAATGGTGTATAAATATATAAAAGCTGCAAAAGTTCCATGCTTTGTTTACTTTGATTTTGTGTTTCTCTTTTATGTTTATTCGATTTCAAGTTATTGCAAGAGCTTTTAGGGAGTTCGGACAATCAACATTGAACACTGACATGATTATATTCTGTGTATGCTAATTTAGCGAGAACATGTGGACTTGTTTGGTTCGTTCCCTTAGCCGTATTGTACGTTGGATTTTCTGTAGTCATACTATACTTGAACTTCTAACCATATTTTCTATGAAGGTTTATACGGAGTTGTCATCCGGAAAGAAATTTTATTCGAGACCAGAAGTGACTCGATATTTGAATGCTGCAAATCATGCCGACAACGCATCTGTGCAGAAAAATGTAATGTGTAGATTTTATTGGAATTTTACTGTGACGTTTTAATTGATTTATGCATTCATGTTTATTCAACTCTATTTATTATAAGGCATGGAATTTCGATGCTTCATTTTAGCAAATCATACCGTACTTTTGTTAATTGCCTATTCAGACGGACAAATCTGGGGGATCTTTAACTAATGCTTCTACACGAAGAATTTCGAAGACAAGTTCAAGCCGTGCTTCCACGAAGAAGGAGAACAGCAATAACAAGATGGTTTGTGCTGCGACTTTATTAGGGGTAAAAATTATTTTAAATTTTCTAACATTGGATGTTGTACAGATCACCTCGGAGATTACACCGGCTGATGATCTACCACCTGGTTGGATCAAAGAAATCAGGACAAGTAAATCCAGAAATAAGATCAGAAAAGATCCGGTAATTTTTCCTTCCGTAAAATTGCAAAATGCTTTACTACGACGGTTGTTTTTTACACAGCTGTGTGTGATTTCCGCAGTTTTACACCGATCCCGTCAGCGGGTATGTCTTCCGATCTAAATTAGACGCTTTACGGTATTTGGAAACAAACGATATCCACAGCTGTGCTTGCAAACCATTTAAACGGGAGTCGGATGATCTCAAGTTGATTGGCAATGATATCAATGTAAGTCTCGAATAATTTGTGTTTGTTTAGAGCTTTTGAATAATAAAATTTTGAATTGAGTAGTAGAAATCCTTCGAAATCCCCAATCAAACACATCCTATTATATAATCGAAGTTCTTTCTATGCTGATTGATATTTAAAGTCTCCAAATACGGACGGGGAGAAGTCATCCAAGCAGAGGAAATCGGAAGAATCTTACGGTAAAATTTGCGCTCGAGTATTTACTGTTTGGGTTAATTCTTTTTACTGCTCAGGTCACGATTACAATCACAATCTAAATCATCGCAGGCGCAGGCGGAGAAACTTCGGGTACAAAACGTCGAGCAGAATCGATGGCTGAGATCCCAGAGAAAGCGGAAGGTAACGGCGGTGGACACTCGCCAGGTAAACAAACAAACGGAAGCTGGACCGATTCGTCGAAATCTAAAAAAATACGCGACTCGGAATTGCCGCAACGAACTTCAAAAATGCTGTTCGACACGGGACTTTCCTCCGATATCGAGCCGGAAGAGATTTCCGAAAATCCTCACACGGAGAAGCCGGAAAAGTCACCGGAGTCGCAGCTCGGCAACGACTTCGGGGACTCGTGGTCGGATCCGGTCGAATTTGCTCTGAAAACTCTTTGCGGCGAGATTCCGATCGACGATAATCTGCCGTTTCCGGGCGACTTGAACAAGGGGCTCAACGAACCCGCCGATGCGGGCCCGAAACCGATGCCGCCGCCGCCGCCGCCGCCGCCCTCGGACGAGCCTGTTAATTTCAAAAATGAATTTGTCCCGAGCGCCGGAACTCCGTCGAAGAGGCACGGTGCGCTTGCGCTGCTGCAGTCCAATCCGACGTTCTCTGCCGGCGGGGAAGACGGCGAATCGAAGCCGTAATTGAAATCAAAATCGAATCGAGGTGGGTTTTGATGTGCCAAATGTTGGTTGTTTTTATGTTATTTGGACACTCAGCTCTTATTAAGGTTGTTGGGGTTATTATTATGACGTATCCTATAAAATGTTGTTATGACTTTGTATTTTGCTGAGGATTTGGATTTGGATTTGGATTTGATGCTTAAAATTGGGAAATACTTTTGGTCTGTATTAATCGATCTAACCCTAACTATATCAAGGTATTGCTCATTTTATTTTATTTTGTAGACAATAATATTTTATATAATATAAATAAATTAATTATTTATTTATAATTAATTTTATAGAAACTAAAAAATTTTAAATATAAATAAAAATATTTGTTTACTAAAAATAAAAGATTTTGTTTACTATCAACAAAAGACGTATCCTTCCGTCCAATAACAAAGTATTCATTTTTTCATTTTAGTCCGTCCGATAACAAAGTATTCATTTTCTTTTTTAGTAACTGTACTATCTATCTAACATTACAAATATCCTTACAACTTACAATATATTACACAAATGCCATTACCTTTATATCACACATACTAATAAGGTTATTTTAGTCATTTCTACTTTATTCTTACTATATCCCAATATAATACTAATATTTCTAAAACTACGTGCAAAAAGAAAATAGATATTTAGTTCCGGGACGGAGGGAGTATAAAAATTAGTGATCGATAATTAAATAATCCTAAAATACCAAAGTGATCGATCTTTCTATATATGCTACTCCTCCGTCCCAGAACTATAGTCTGAGTTGTGTTTGACACGAGATTTAAAGAATATTGATATTATATTGGCAGTGGATAAAAGTACGCGTACAAGACTTTTTTGCCATTGCGAGTGTATTAGTGTAAAAAATAGTAACAATTGTGTAATAATAATGAAAAAATAATGGTAGTTTTATAATGATATGATTATTTATGAAAATGAGACTGTTGTTTTAAGACGAACAAAAATAATAAACAAGACTATAGTTTTGAAACGGAGTAAGTACAATAGAGTTTGTTGAAAATATTCGACGAGTCGAAAATCTTGTCTTTAAGCTAGTTTTTCGATAGGGTCTCGACCTATTTTTCCTTTTTCGAAATCGAAACTTCCCATGAATTATACCAAATTTGAAGGATTGACATACGCTTTTTACACAATATTTAATGTAAGAAATCTTATAATCCTCTTTTGGATAAAGTTGTTATGTTGAATAATTAATTATTAACGTAATACAAATGATTAATTATTTTAAAATTGTCTAAAAGATACAAAAAAAAGTAGTTGGAGGATAATTTTTAATTGGCCTTGACTTCATGAGCTCCATATGAAAATGATGTCGATGGAATCATTGCACATCTTTCTTCACAAAAGTTGATTTTTATTATCATTATTATTATTATTATTATTATTATTATTATTATTATTATTAATTGCATGCATCAGCATTCACGTTGCTTGTTTTCGTCATATCTAAATTACTTTTTTTAGCCAAACAAATGTGTGTTTTTTTTTTTTTTTTTTTTTTTAATTTTAATTTTAATTTTATTTTATTTTTATTTAACCTATGAATTTTCTTAAAAAAAATACTTCCTCCTCCAAATTTCTATTGTCCTAAAGTATATTTACACGGGTTTTTAGGTGATTATCTTTTTGTTATAAATTGACAAATTTGCCTTTAAGTGTGGTAGAAATTAAAAGTAATAAATGAATGAAGGGTAAAAATGTAAAATTTATGTTTAAAAAAGGAAATGAGACAATAGTGGTTGGACGTCCCAAATAGTAAAATACAATATTAGTTTGTGGATGGAGAGAGTAATATTAAATATTAAATAAAAGATTAATTTTCATTAAAATATCACAATTAATAATTATTTCACTTAAAAATATCAAACAAAACATACATAAACCCAAAACCCAAATAGTACTCCCTCCGTCCCATATACCATGTCCACATTGTCCTTTTTGTCCGTCCCATATACTATGTCACTTTCATTTTTTGGAAATAATCTTAATTTATAATTATTTATATTATAGAATAATTATTTTCACTAATATATTTTTAATTATCTACTAATTACATCCCTCCTAAAATACTGTATCTACAGTGTAGCAGATACGGTACGTGGGACGGAGGCATGCGGTTCTATGTGCAAACATGGCCTAATATATGTGGCTTAAATTTATTTATTTATTGTGTATTTTTTAATAATAATAATAATTATTATTAAAAAATAGTGAAAGAAAAATGACATGATGCATTGTTTGAAGAAAACTATTCATAGTTACAAAATAAAGATTTAGAATATATATATATATATATATATATAAATAAATCAAAGGGATAGGATAGAAAGGCGATTGGAAGAACTCTATGATGATAAGTAAATGATTAGTTTATCCAATAATTTAATTAATAATATAAACGACAACTTTCAAACCCTAATAACAAATTAGATTAGCAAACCTCAAAAATATCAATATTACTTATTAACTAGCAAATATATCCCAATTTAGTTCTAACAATTATACTAATAGTTTGTTTGACAAACAATTTTTTTTAAGAGCTTTTAGTTTATTGAACAACTTTTAGCTGTTTGATCAGTTAAAAAACTAATTTAGGTGTTTGGTAAATTAGCTTTTTTAAAGAGCTTTTTGGACCCAAAAAGCTAATTTCTGAAAAGCTCGTCTACTCTTAATTAAAACATAATTATTTATTTTATACATATAAAATATATTTTTATAGCAGTATTTATTAATTATTTTTAATATATTTAATTTATTAAATTATATTTTTATTTTTATAAATTTAAAATAATTAATTATTATTAATTATTACATATAAATTATTTTATCTGAAAAATATATAAAATTTTTAAAACTAAATTAAATAGAAAAAATAAAAGATTATTAATTTATTTATATATATTAAAACAATAATTAACATAATAAAAAAATATATACGAAAGATTTATTATTTTATATTTTACATAATTTTAATAAAAAATTATTATTTTTTAGTAAAAATAATTTTCTCAAATCTAAATAATAAAAAATAAAACTAAATATTTTATAATATTTTTATAATTTTTAATAATTCATAACAAAAATTCTCATAAATTTCAAACCAAAATGACCAAAATTAAATATTTAAAAAAATAACATATCAATGTCCTTAATAGTAATTTTATGTATAAACAGCTAATGTCAAACCGTTGTTTTACCCAACACTTTAATACAAACCGCTAATTGAATTAGCTAATTAAACAGGTAATTGAATCAGCTAACCGCTAATTGAATCAGCTCAGCTAATTGCCAAACGAACCATAATTCTTAATAATCTTGACTTAATCAGCATATACTCATTATTTTAGTAAATAATCAAATATTTATATCATAAATGGAACTTGGCCATATATACAATTTGTAATAATTAAATGGAATTTTGAATTGATCACATCACCTTATAGACGTAAGAACACAATGAAACATACCTACCAAATTGATGTGATTAAGTTTTGACCAAATAAATTCGTAATTATCAAAATAAATTGCAGTTAATTTGTCCCCAAGTAACAAATATACAAATGCAGGAAATTTCCAAGAATTTTGACCAAATTTAATAATTTTAATAAAATTAAAAAGAAATAAAATTAAAATGGTGTCATTTTGTGCATAAATTAAGGCCAAGAATCGATACATGTCTTCTTCATTACAATAACACAAAGTTTATTATGCTGAAGAACAGCAAGAGTTTTTGCCATACAATTCTTTTCTGTGAAGTTGGCTGAGAACAAAATTATAATTCAGGTAAGTTTACTCAAAGATTTCTTCGATTCTATCTATGTCGTAATATTATTTAATTGTTCGTTTCGGTTTTTGATGTTTCGGGCTATACGGGTATCACTACCAAAAAAATATCAATTTTGTAACAAGATTTTTTCGTTCTTAAATCTATTTTTTCCGTTACTAATGATATTAGAAACGGAATTATGGATGTAATTACGTTAGCTACGTGAGCTTTGGGAACGGAATTTCGTTAGAAATATACTATTCTTTTGTAGTGTATTTTCAATCTTTTGGACGATTTTGAAGTAATAATATTTTGTTATTAATTAGGGAATATGTCGATCGTTCCAAGGACTCACGATTGCTACGAGCACTACGAGCTCAAGGCCTTCGAGAAGCTCTTCTCTTGTGACGGTTGCAAGATGAAAGGATTCGGACAACGCTACCAATGCAACCTTTGTGGCAACGAATTGCACAAAGAGTGTAAATCCCCCAAAGCTACCATCACCCATGAGTTTTTCGCGCGCTCAACTTTCACATTCCGCGAGAAGCCCTTCACGAGGTATGGTTTCAATCACCAAAGAGAATTCTCCAAAATCTGCGACGCGTGTGGGAAGGAAATTCGTGGGTTTAGCTACCATTGCGAAGAGGACAACCTCGATGTCCACCCTTATTGTCTAAACCTCGAAAAAAATGTTTTGATCAGTAAAGACACCGTGTTCAACCTCGAGGCCAATGTGGTGTCGAAATGCATATGGTGTAAGAAAAAGAAGATTTCGGACGATAGCCGGGGCGTTCTTGGATGGTCGTATATCTCCACTTGTAGGAAGTATCATTTTCATGTTTATTGTATGGCGGAGATGGCGCACGAGGCGTGCGTGAGGAGTGGCGGGGAGATGGTGTTGGAGAATGTCGAGCTTCGGAGTTTGGCGAAGAAAAGAAGTCGTCGAAAGATGGTTGTGGTTGAGATGATCAAGTCGATCCTAAAGATTGTGTTCGCAGCTCTTTTGGGTGATCCGACGGTTCTGATTTCGAGTGCTATCGTCGAATTACTTTCTCGTGGATTATCTTAAACCCTGAATCCTATACTTAAAACATTAGGATTTCATGTTATTCAAACGTAAGGTTTGAAATTAGGGTTTGATGGGTGTTTGAAATTAGGGTTTCCATGTGTGCTTCAAATTTAGGGTTTGATGTGTGTTTGGAATTAGGGTTTTCATGTGTGCTTCAAATTAGGGTTTTGATGTGTGTGTTTCATATTAGGGTTTTAGATTTTCTTTTAATATGTAAGCATACGTACACGTATACATGATGACATGGTTTGCTGTTTTTTTTTTAATATAATTTATATGAATATCTATGATTTGGTTTCATTTTAAAATTAGGGTTCTTGGGTTTGGTGTTTTTCGAAATTAGGGTTTTTAGTTTGTTCTTTGTTTGATGGTGGATTATTAATGTTGTACTTATATTGTAGTTTATTCTTTTGGAAATATTATAAATCTTATTGTCATGGAAATTAAATTTAAGCTCCGAAAACGATCTCAAATTTATGTTTACGGCCAAATTGAATCTCACACACACATCTCAAAACCGTCGTCGATGATGATGAAAATATAGTATCAATGTTTAAAATATACAAATTAGAAAATAAGCACCAAGTTTAGAGATAATTATTGAGTATGTATGACTACTAATTATACATGTTTTATATTTAAATGTATATTTGAAGATTAATTAATCATTTATTAGTATTGAAAATGACATAAATTTGTGATCATGTTAATTAGAAATGTATTCTTTTTAATGTTTATATATATATATATATATATATTTCTGTTAGGTCGGTGTTTTTGATGTTGATTGTTGAAATATTAAAAATAATTATAAAGTTGAAATGCCAAGTCTAATCTCAACTTGGAATAACATAAAGAACACTTATTTCTTAAGAAAATAAACTATGTCTTAATTTCCACGTATTTTACGTAGACTTTTTTGGATGAAGTTGTAATATATAATGATTGGATAACCTATCGATTTAGTTAATTAATTTACGTGACACAAACGATTACTTACATATATTGTAATATTGAAAAATGTGACATGGGAGCCAAGAGAAGGTCCATTTTTTGACCTTTGTCCTGGACTAAATAGTAAATATATATATATATATATATATTGAGTATTTCGTAAAATTACAATGTAAAATCATCAATAAAAGTATCAATATTAACGCTCGCACATATCCGATCAAAAAACAAATATTAACACTTGCACACACACACATATATATATATATTGATATGTAATAATACTATATACGATCAAATCTGTGATGTTTTGTGTATAATACATTTCAACTCGATTCAACTCTTCGAAACTCGGAATCTGTACCCGCGATTCGATCCAATATTGTTTGGATCTGGACCGCTTTGAACCGGTTCTGGAGTTTTCATATAAATGTATGTTTCCAAGGTTCGATTAAGGGCGTGATTCATTCTTTCATCCTCACATTACTCTCTGAAACTCTACTGTTTCCGACGCATCGCGATTGATCTGTGCTTGGTCTTTCCGGCGAGATTGGCCATCGAAGCTTGAGGTTCGTTCCCTGCGGTAGTGATTCAGCCCATTCTAAGGCTGTTCTTCGGTTTGATTTCTCGATTCTGCTTTTATGTATTGTTTGTGATGTTATTTGGTTGTCCACGATGATTTAGGCTTATAATCTTGAGATTTCTTTCGATTGAGGTTATATTCGCGCTGATTGTGCATTTCCGTGGATGTTGATAGGGTTTGGGTCGCGGTTGTGTGTATATATTGCTACACAGTTAGAATGTTGGGTAACCTGAGTCCGAACTCTTTCGATTTCGAAGTATATAAAAGATTCGATGTTTTTTGTTTCGTATGTGTTCGATTAATTGTAAACGACAAGTGTTAGGTCCTTTATTATAATTACAAAGTCTTTTACAATCTTGTGTATGAAATTTAAAATGATATATTTTTATACAAACCCCCGAGTTAATAATAATAATAATAATAATAATAATAATAATAATAATAATAATAATTAGGAGAAAACAAAAGAGAAAATAACCTTATTTTTACGTTGTTTGGGTTTTCTTACTATCTAATCCCTAACCTAAATCTAATCCCTAACCTCTAAGCATGTCAAATGATGTTTCAACCGTTTGAACTATACACTTTTGATTTTGCTTAGGTTAAGGATGTAACCAATAGCTAGTAAAAAATATTTAAATTACCAGGTAAAATATTTAGTTCAAGTATACTAATAGACATACATAATTTTTATTTAAAATGTGTCTACTAGGGGTGTTCTAACTTCGCAGAACATAGCCTTTGTCAAATTTAAGTTTGATATCGTTTTTCCTTACCTCGTTCATATTAAAATGAACAACACTATCTATGATTTTGAAATAACGAATTGAATACATCTTTTTACAAAATAGACGAGACATTAGTGAACCAAGAAGGATTATACATTTGTTAGTATTTCATCCGTCCCAATACAATAGTCTTGTTTACCATTTTCGTCCATCCCAAAACAATAGTCTCATTTCCATAAATAATCATATCTCCATAAAACTATCCTTGCTTTTTCATTATTATTACACAAATGCCACTACCTTTTATACTAATATACTCACGGGGGTAAAAAAATCTTTTATTCATACTTTTTACCAACTATCAATATAATATCAACATTCTTTAAATCCTGTGCCCAACTCAAATAAGACCATAGTTTTGGGACGGAGAGAATATATATTATTGCGAATAAACACGGGCGTGTTATAATTTAACAAATTTTATCAATAAGATTGGCTATAATTGCGTTTTAATTACCACAAATCGGTCGTGTTGGGTCCATATCAAATGAGACATCATATTTCATAGAGTCAAAATTTTAATCTAGTAAAACTTATTTTGATTAAAAGTTTATATCACACCAATTAATGTAAGTACTTTTATTTTCTAATTTTGATTTTTTTTTTACTAGAAATTTTATTACTGTTATGGGCCCTGTAATGGGCTGGGCAAAACATAATTTAATTTTTATGGGCCCAATTTAAATAATATACCTTTTTAGTAGTCAATTTGTCAAAAAACTTGAATATTAAATGTGATGTTTTGTAATTAAAAAAATATATTTGATTCTATTGATGAATAGTGTAAATTTAAAAAATTTGAGCATTGAATATGATGTTTTGTGAATGGAAAAATATATTTGATATAATATTAAAAAATTATTGCTGATAAATAGTGTCAAAGTTTAAAAGGCTGTATATTGATTATTGAATATAATGTTTTCTGAGAAAAAAAATATTTGGTGTGATATATATTTTTTTTTTAAAAAATATTGCTATTGATAAATAGTATTAAAAGTTTAAAAGATGCATATAAATAGAACTAGCAAAATAATATCAAGATTTTTTCAAAAATACTAGTAAAATATGGGTAAATCATTTTTGTACTGTTTTCCAATTTTTATAGTTAAAAACATTAATGTTGTATTCTTTTGTGAGTTTTTCCTAAATTTTTATTTTTTTAAAAAAATATTAAAATAAATAATTACTTTTCATTATTATATTATACTAAAAATATATTTTACATTTAAAATATCAAATCAATATTTATTTATATCGTATCAAACAATTATTCAAATTCAACTTTTTATTATTAAAAAATTCTAACCCACAAACAAACACACCTAAAACGGGTGTTTGAGTGTGTGTTTAATTTTTTTAAATAACTTCATATGTTGTCTCAATAGAAAATTAAGTTACATTTGTTTTTGTTAGAAATTATATATTGTGGGCATATTTATCTACTTTTCCAAAGTTATTACAACAATTATTCGACAAAAACAACTAATTGAGAGCGACAATTGATGCAAAATGTTACGTGGAAGTTCTTACAATCTAAATTTGTTTAGACAATACTATCGATGTTCGATTGAAGATATGAATATTTTAGGATTTACTTAACATTTTAATCATTCAAAAACTTACCTTAATTTGAGTAAAATAATTGAACTTGTAGTTTATGAAGAAAAGATTGTTCATATTTAACTATAGTTATAAAAAGAACATTCTTGAAAATATATCTAATCTTTTTACCTATTTAGTCTGACTTAAATTGAATTAAGTATACACATATATATATATATATAAATACTCATTACCTCCCATATCTATATATTCATTTTTTTTTTGCACGGAGTTTTAGAAATACTACTATTATATTGAGATAAAGTAGAAATAAAGATAAAATGACTAAATTAACCCTATTAGTATTGTATGATATAAATGTAATGATATTTGCGTAATATATTGCAAATTGGAAAGATATTTGTAATGTTAGGTAGATAGTACAATTACTAAAAAAAAAAAATGAAATGTATACTTTGTTATGAGACGGACCAAAATGACAAAATAGATAGATTGTTAAGGGACGGAGGAAGTATGTTATTACCATATTATTTTGATAAAATAACAATCAAGAATAAAATTCCAATAAAATATTTTGTCCGTCCCGTAAAATTAGGGCATTTGTGTCCGACGATACGGAGATTAAGAAAAATAAATATTATATTGAAAATGTGATAAAAGTAAAAAGGTAATTGAAGATATTTTTGAAAATTTAGTTAGAATCAAAGAAAATGAGAAGATAGAATGTAATAATGGTAGAATAATAGTTAAATGTTGATTTTGTTAAAATTAGTAATACTGTAAATTTAACCGACATACTAAAAAGAAAAAGAAAAATAAATTTGACGGACCGAATAAATATCTGATTACGTGGTCTAATGTCTTTTTCTAACAATGATAGGTCGAGTGTCCAATCGGGCTTCATAAGTTCTTTTGGAGGATGATACGATATGAAGTATATTGCGTCTTATTTATTATTTTTGTCTGTATTAAATAATAGTTATATTTTCGTAAATAATTATATCATTATAAAATTATTTTCAATTATTATTATTGTTACGCACAAAAAATAATAATAATAATAATAATAATAATAATAATAATAATAAGGTATCCAGAGTCAGTCGGTGGGTTCTCAGTCGGTTGGTTCTCAATCAGATAAGCAAGTCAGATGGTCCGCGGTCGGGCAAGCAGGTCGGATTATCCGCAGTCGGATAAATGGGTCGGTTGATACAAAGGTTGGCTGCTATGGGGGTCGGTCGAAAAAGGAAGTCGGGCGAAGAAAGGTCTGTTGATAGGTCAGACGATTGAAGAGACCAAATAGTGGTCGTTTGATGGGGCGACCAGTGAGTCTTTTGATCTGGCGACCAATTATGTATCTAGATTGGTCGGTTGGTCGGTCGTTGGGTTATGCGGTTGGCGAGGCGGTTAAAGACATGTGTCAATGAAAGAGGCAGTTCTGAGTTCTGTAACTGGTGGGAACGGTTGGTGAAACAGTGCGACGGTTCTGAACGTTTTCTTCAAAGAATATTTAAGGATTTGGATCATCATTTGGCAAGGCATCTTCAATCAACTTCAACAAAGCAAAGTCAGATTTGGGGATCACCACTTTAAATTTCAGTCTTTTATTTTCCAGTTTATTTTCTGTACCATACAGTGTTTAGAGATTCCTAATCTCAGGCACTAATTAATCAAGTTTAAGGATATTTTCTATATCTTTGAATTTTACTTTATTTTTGTTGAAAAATTACATCAACAATTATTATATAAATATCACTATTTTTTACATTAATAAACCACAACGAGACAAATAAACTTTTTTTTATTTACCTGTATTATACAAAATTTTATTTATTATAAAATGATATTATTCTATATATTTTTTTATTCCAATATAAATTTTAAAATATTTATATATATATTCTAATTTTTGTAATTAAGTATATTAAATTTATTTTGAAACTATCAATATTATTAATTTTATAAAAAATAATATTATAATTTATTATTAATTAATTAATTAATTACATATTATTATCTTAAATAAATATCGTGTATTAATGAAAAACGTCAATTCAATTCGGCATAAGCATCCATTCTGTTCTTATTTACCGACGCTACCTCCACATACTTATACTTACATCATCAAAACGACGTCGTTTTGCTTTTCTCTAATTCGGGCAGAACACAACCCTGTAATCGGTCGACGGCGGGCAGACGAAGGTGCTCGTCGGATCGTCCTCCGGGAACGTGAAGGCGTCGCGGCACCGGGACTTGAAGAACTTCGACAGCGCCGTCGGCCGGCACCGCCGCCCTCCGCCGCAGCAGTACTTCGCCGTCTTGTACACTGTGCACGGATTCTGGCACCCTCCCGCCGCCCGCAGCTGCTCCGGGCACTGCCCGCTGATGTCCGCCGCGCACTTCACCGCCCGCCGGCAGCCGTTCGTCGTCGGAGCAAACTCCATCGGGACGTTAAACCTGTTACTCCATTTTAGAAAAAAAAGTATGAATTATATTATCGCTAATAATAATACTCCCTCTATTCCCCGTTGATTTCTGAATCAATTAAGACACTAGTATATGTATAATTATTAGATAATTAAAAATATATTAGTAAAAATAATTATTTTATAATATAAATAATTATAAATTAAAATCGAAATGGTGATCAATCCACTACCTTCCCCTTGACTGAGCGGGCGTTGGAGGTGATTGAGTGAGTCTTCCGGATAGATTAATTAATTTAATTAAAATTTTAAAAATTTTAAATTAAAAAATTTAAAACGAAATTAAAATATATAATTATTCCAAAAAAAAAACATAGTAGCTAGGTGAGATGTGGAACTGACAAAAATTCCGTTCCTAAGGCTAACTTAATTTCATTCATAATTCAATCTTTAATGTAATTAGTAACGAAAAATGTAAATTTAGAGATAAAAAAATTTTGTTACAAAAATGATGTTTTCTTGTAGTGTCGATCTGACATGATTTGTCAATTTTATTTTATTTTTAATTTCGATCTGTACTACATAGTTTATTTATTTATTTATTTTTTAAAAAAATACTCTAACCATTCCATAAAAAAAATACTCCCTCCCTCCGAAAAGAAGCGTCTTATTGAAAGTTGACACGAGAATTAAAGAATAATAGTATTTAATTGAAAATGGGTATAAAGTAGAATGTAAATGACTAAAATACCTTGAAGGATTTTAAAGAGTATGTTAGAGTAATAATCAGGTGTACTATGAAAAAGTAAGAATAATTTTGTTATAAAGTGAGGACCACGGTTACTAAATAAGAAAATAAGATAATTGTTTTGGAACGGACGAAAATAAAAAAATAAGACAAATTTTTTGGGATGAAAGGATTATTATTTTTCTATTTTTGTCGGTCCCAAAATAAGACTATATTTCCATGATTTAGACAACCTACCTAACATAATCTTAAGTGTCGAGACAATAATAAATTTTTTATTAATAAATAAAATTTATATTTATATTTAACGAATAATTAAATAGAAAAATTGATAGAATTATTTGAGAGAATAAAAATTAATTAGCAAATATATATATATCTAACCCTTTCATGAGGGAGATGTCGTAGTAGTCCTTTCCGGCGAAGGAGTTCAGGCCGTACTCCGCCAGGGTGTGCGGCGGCGACCCATAATTCCGGCACCGGAGCCACCCGTCGCAGTCGCCGGTCCGGCAGCCGCCGCGGCCGGTTGAATTGAAGGAGCAGCCGGTCCGGGCCCAGATCTTGGCGAGTTTGGGCCCGCCGGGAAACCCGAGGTTCCAGGTCTGGCCGCCGTCAAGGCGGCGGCCTCCGCCGGGGACGGCGGCGGCCCAGACGGTGTAGGGGCAGTTGTTTTTGATGGAGAAGACTATGGCGTAGGATTCGATTTGGAAAGAGATTAGGGAAATGAGTGTGATGATTGTGGTTAGGGAATTCATTTTTTTTTTTTTTAATTATTATTTTTTATATTGTGGGAAAAAAATAATTGACTGAATGTTTTTTAAATATGAGATGGGTTAATTATGAATTGGGAGTGTTTATAATACTAAAAGAAATGGGAAAGAGGATTGCGCAAAAATAGGTACAACAAAAAAATTCGAAATGAAATTGAACTTGTGTTTGAGTCTTAAAATATACTATCTTTGTCCCAAAATTATAGTCTTATTTGAGTGGTTGAGCACTGAATTTAAGTAATATTAATATTATATTGATAGTTGATAAAAAGTATGATTAAAACACTTTTTAGCCATTGTGAGTTTATTAGTGTAAAAAGTAGTGACATTTGTGTAATACTCATGAAAATTTAGGAATAATTTGACGGTGAGATGGAGTATTTATGGAAATGAGATTATTGTTTTAGGACGGACAAAAATGATAAATAAGACTATCGTATTGGAACGGAGAGAGTATTTAACAAATAGTTCCGTCATGCTGACAGTACTCCGCAGCACAGCGTATTTCTCCTATTACATGCAGACATCACACGGTATTGCTACAGACAGACAACACACTGTATGCATTCATGTAATACAAATACAATACATAAATTAATAGCTTATGCTATAGTCTTATACAACACAAACAATATTTGATTTCAGCACACCAAATACTATTATACAAAACACTAATAATTATGAACCAACACACATAAACTAACAGTACATGCTAGAGTCTTACCCAACACAAATAATAGTCGATTTTTGTACATCATATACTGTTATACAGAACACTTATAATCATGAACCAACAACACATATCTTTATGAACCAACAACACATATCTTTATTATATATATTGCTTGCTGTCTATAATAAAATTGTGTGCTATTTATATATATTACTTGATGACTGATTTTTTCAATTGATCACCCTAACCGTTCCGTTTGTAAAGTGTCATAATAGTTATATAATTATAACAATAAAACTAATTTAGTCATGCTTATCCTTAGAAATGTTTAAATTCATTTGTATGGAATTATTTTAAAATTAAATTTTAATTTAAATAATATTCTAACGCAATATTTTATTAAAAAATAATAGTGATACAATTTTACTAAATTCGTACCCCTAAAATAATAAATAATTTTAGTTTTAGTTCAAAACGAAACAAATTCAGTTTTAGTTCAATACCAAACAAAACAGTCTTCTTTTGTAGAGTTTTCATAATATTTTTACTATTAATTTTTTTATATATTAAATTAAATTATTACTTGTTATACTATATCAAAAATTAATTTTATATTCAAAATAAATAAATATTTATTTATATTATACAAAATAATTATTTAAAACATCCAAACCCAAAAATCAATAAAAGAAAAAGAAAAGTTGTTGGAAGCATACCCCAAGCGAAGGCTTCACAAACTTTCCTACGACCTTCCCAATCATGTCCGCAAAGGGCACAGGAGACCCCACGTGACCTGTCAACACGCACGTGATCATCATCAACAACACACACCACCTCAACAATCCCTCTTCTTCTCCGAAACTTTCCAAAAAAATTTCCACAAACAAATCAATTCCCAAAATTCATTTATATCCACACCAAATTAATAAATAAAAAAAAAAAAAAAAAAAAAAAAAAAAAATGCTAAATCGCCATGCACCCCACTCCCCCATAATTCTAGACATAACAATAATCTCAGCTCACGGCCTCAAAAACAATCCGGCGGCGGCGGCGTTTGCCACTTTCTGGCGACGTCTCCGCCCCTACGTCACCATCAGCGTAGTGGGCGACGGCGACGGGACAATGCATAGAACTCGAGTCGACGATAAGGGGGGCGTGAATCCTACATGGGGGGACAAGTTTCGATTATTCCTCGACCCGAGTTTTTTCGAACAAAGTTATCGCGGGATTTACCTGCAGCTATACACGAAGCGTCTTTTGATCGGGAGGACTTTGCTCGGGTGGTGCGTAATTCCGGCTGCCGATATATTTGATCAGCCGCTGCCCATCGGGTGCGCTCGGTTCTTGAGTTACCGGCTGAGGGCGCGGGACGGATCGAGAGGGCACGGCATTGTTAATGTGTCGGTGAAAGTCGAGCAGCCCCCCGGGGGTACGGTTTCGAATGACCTGCAAGAAATGTTCGATGGAAATCAGTTCGCGATTGGAATTCCGGTAAATATCGTGTTAATGTGATCGCAATCTTGTCGTGTATAGAAGCAAACAACGGCAAATTGATTTACGATAGATTATGGACAAGATATACAATATGCATTAGTGTTCGCGACGAGTGTCTGTTTTTTTTTTCTGAAAATTGCATTGTGAACAAAGAATCTTGGATTGATCGTGTGACATCGATGTGAATCTGAATTTCAGTGTATTTATCAGGCAACAAATTGCGCGGCATGAAAGTAAACATAAAATTTAACAAGTTTGTTACTAACTACAGCCACTCGTGTTATTAACCGATGATTTTGTATGACATTTACAAGTAAAGTTTTGAAGCTAGAAACATTTGGAAACATCAAAATTTTTATGTTTCGCAGCTAATTTTTAAATTTTTGCAGCTATAAACATTCGGAAGCATCAAAATTTTAAAGTTTCGCAGCTAGAAACATTCGGAAGCATCAAAACTTTTAAATTTTCGCAGCTAGAAACATTCAAAAGTTTTAAATTTTCGCAGCTTGAAACATTCGGGAGCATCAAAATTGTAAATTTTTGCCGCTAGAAACATTCGGAAGCATAAAAAATTTTAAATTTTCACAGCTTGAAACATTCGGAAGCATCAAAATTGTAAAGTTTCGCAGCTAGAAATATTCAGAAGCATCAAAATTTCAAATTTTCGCAGCTAGGAACATTCGGAAGCATCAAAATTTTAAAATTTCGCATCTACATACATTCGGAAGCACAAAATTTAAAATTTTCGCAGCTAGAAACATTTGGAAACATCAAAAGTTCAAATTTTTGCAGCTAGAAACATTTGGAAGGATCAAAATTTCAAATTTTTGCATCTAGAAACATTCGGAATCATCAAAATTGTAAAGTTTCGCAGCTAGAAACATTCGGAAGCATCAAAATTTCAAATTTTCGCAGCTAGAAACATTTGGAAGCATCAAAATTGTAAAGTTGCAGCTAGGAACATTCAGAAGCATCAAAATTTCAAATTTTTGCAGCTAAAAACATTCAAAAGCATCAAAATTGTAAAGTTTCGCAGCTAGAAACATTTGGAAGCATCAAAATTTTTAAATTTTCGCAGCTAGAAACATTGGGAAGCATCAAAATTTTTAAATTTTCGCAGCTAGAAACATTGGGAAGCATCAAATTTTCAAATTTTCGCAGCTAGAAACATTGAGAAGCATAAAAAATTTAAATTTTCGCAGCTAGAAACATTCGGAAGCATCAAATTAAATTTTTGCAGCTTGAAACATTCGGAGGCATCAAAATTTTAAAGTTTTGCAGCTAGAAACATTTGGAAGCATAAAAAATTTCAGTTTCTGCAATCGCAATGCACCAAAATGTTTCTATACACAAAATTTCAAACAAGTAACAGCATAAATGGATAAACCACAGTTAGTATTCATCACATCAATAGCATAGTTCAAAGCATCGTATATTTGTATAGTAATCGTGCATTAGAAAAAGACAGGCAATGTTGATGAATTATACTTTTCTAGAAACTCACAAGGCATGTGGAAACGGTAGGCAGCTTCCTAACAAAAAATTCCATCAATGGAAGCTAGGAAAAACGTAAACCACAATAGCTTGACTTTCGACGAAAACTTCAGTCCTATTTTCATACACCTCTCAGGATCTTAATTGCTATGAATTCGAAAGGGACTTTTGCTAAAATGAAATCAATCAGGTAATAATATGCCCAAAATATACTCCATCATACAGTTCTTCGAAGAAATTTGATACAAAATCAATAAATCAGTCAAAAACCTAATTGCAAATTGCATTCCAGACAGATTTTTCAAACAATTTGGCTCCCAATCACTCCGTACACATCACAGCGACAATATCTAGGGTTCGGAAAAGTTCAACGATTTAAAAAAAAAAAACAAAAAGTTTACTTAGGTATTTATTTCCACAGGCCCCACAAAACACGATTCTGCCCAAATTTCATAGAAACAGAGGAAGATGTTTCAACGAATTGATTAATTTTCGCAGCGAGTTCAGGATCCCACCGGTTCTTATATGTGAGCTCACATACTGTTCGGATAATCGAAAATTAATCTTAGAGAGGAGCGAATAATAACGGCAGGACACAAGCAAAAGATTTTATTGATGAAATTGAAAGCTAAACTATGTTTTCATACCTCGATAGCCAACAGCTTGTTCTTCTCCATGGAACGATTTTTCGTCGCCGAAAGTTCTGAGGATCGGAGTAGGGAACGGAAAGGAACACCGTAGACTCCGCCGGAACGACTTATTATTATTATTATTATTTATTTCGAATATAATTTTTTTATTTTATAAATTATAAAATTTTATATTATAATTATTTTTATTTTATAAATTATAAAATTGTAATATAAAAATAAAATATTACAGCATAATAATAATAATAATAAAGATTCAATTAGTAAAAAATAAAAAAATACTATAAATAATATAAAAAAACAACATATACAATAATTTTTTATATACACCTCTCGCGTTGTCTGTTTTTTTTTTTTTCAGTTCGCTCTACATAATTTGTTATTTTTCTAAAATTATAACTATACATTTTAATTATATTTTAAAATTCATAATTTATATTTTTTTTTATTCTAATTAAACTATTCAATTCTTTTAATCTTAATCCGTATTTTTTTTGTGTTTGTCAGTCCACTCTACATAATTTGTCATTTTTCTAAAAATATAATTATAAATTTTAATTATATTTTAAAATTCATAATTTATAATTTTTTTATTCTAATTAAACTATTTAGTTCTCTTAATCTTAATTTATAATTATTTTTATTAAATCATAATTATTTTTACTAATATACTTCTTAATCTATAATAATATTTTTATTAAATTTATATAGGCGATTTATTTAAAATTTTAAAATTATACCAATAGTACATAATAAATATAGAAAACTAAAATAATTAGAAAGTCTAACGCTTACCTTTCTAATATCAAAAAAAAAAAGAAAAGAAAAAAAGGGTCTGAATTTTCGACTGGAATGATTTGAAAGATCCAAAATAAAAAACAGTGGTATTTGCTAGCAACAACATAATAGAGACAGTCAATTAGTATAGATTAATTCGAAACTTGATTCAAATCCAATATAATACGTATCTATGGATACATAAGAAATATATTGAATCGATTCATTAAATGAATCCATCCGATCAAAAGTTTCTTTTATTCATCCGTATTAACTCGATGACACTTCATCTTTGTCGAGTATACGACATTGTTTCTGATTTTCTATCTATCTTAATGTAATATCCATGAGGATATTGTAGACCTGGATTTCGGACAATGTCTCCTCCCTCGATTGATTTCCACCTGAAAAAGCTCGAAACATTTTCATTTGGCAAAAAATTGTAGAGGAAATTATAATTTTTGTCTCGTATGTACGTTTGATTATTTGTTTTGTCCTATGATAATTATGCGTTGCAATAGTCCGCAATTTGGGGAATTCCGGAATATAGAGATAGAGAATCAAAACGAACAAACTAAATAATCGTACAATAAATACTTTTCAAAAGTTATATTTCATCGATATCCTGAGTTAACTCTAATTTAAACCTAGGATAATCCAACATCATACTAAATAATCGTACAATAAATACTTTTCAAAAGTTATATTTCGTCGATATCCTGAGTTAACACTAATGTAACTCTAGGATAATCCAACAGCATACTCAAGAATTATAATGTGAATATAAGTCCAATACGGAGATTTAATTCGTCCCATATTTTTTGCAAATGATCAAGAATGTTAATTTAAAGCCGGACAAAGTGTGTTTATTGGTAGGTTTTGGATAAAATCTTTAATATATATAATTTTTTTTTTTTTTCATCAAATCAAACACTTATTTTATTTTTATTTTTTATTTATATTACACTATTAAAAATTAGTTTTACAATTAAGCCATATTCAAAATTTTTACTATTAAAAACTTCAGACCCAACTTCTAGAACTCTAGGCCCCCAACCCCTTCAGAATTCGAGTTTGATATCATTTTAGTTTATATCGGCATGCACTTTGCACCTTGTAATTCGTATTATAGCTCAAAATAATTCCCCTGTGATCTCGAATAAATTTCGATCACACCAAAATTAACAACAATAACAAGGTGTATGGTTATGAGAAAAATCTTTGCAACCTACTTGTATTTGGTCACCAAGCAGTGAAGGAAGACAGCCATTTGCATTTTCGCAAACTCTGCGCCTACGCACAATCTCATGCCGCCACCAAAGGCCATGAAGTTTCTCGAACCTACATTCGTATCTATTCCCTGTAATAACGGATATTTACACGATTAAACATAAATCGAGTTATATATACACGTATAGTTTGTACTAGGGCCTAAGTGCTCGCCTCCCATCTCCATGGATTGAACTTTAGGGGATTTTCGTATATGTCGTGATTTAAGTGCACAGCAGGAAGACACACCATAACGCCCCAACCACTTGGAATTGTGTATTCTGTTTAGACATGTGTAAGTTAGGGCTTTATGAATTGATCGAGAGCTTCTTTAATCGATATTAATTTAAATTCTTAGTTCAAACCATTGAATTTGATATCTTTTGTTGCTTTTCTGAAAATTCCTGGAGCTATATTTGCCAGTCTGACTGTTTCATTGATAACCTGCAAATTAATGTTGTTGTAAATTTTGCAAAATAGTTAAAATGCTAGTTGAAGAGAAAAATATCAACACTTTATCGAACAATATGGGCACTTTATTTTAAACATTCTTACTTATTAATTGCTTAAATTTTGATCTAACAGTGACTACATAATAGTATATAGGAATATATTATTGAACAACATTAAAATTTATTGAACCATATATTTAAGCACTTTTGAATTTTTTTTGTAATATATTCAGCATAAGATTCAAATTGTTAAGACAATCCATATGGTCGAAACATGTGTATTTCTGTAAAATTTGGATTTGAAAATAATAGAATTTTGAATTAAAACAGTATTTGACATAATGTAAATGTTTATGATTTTTGAAGAGTTTAGAAAATAGTTAAAACTTGAATAAAAGTAGATATTTGTGGCAATGTAAATAAGTTTGAATGAAATTTTGATTTTTTTTTTAATTTTATAGTATATTAATTAAAAAATAAGTATTTAAATGTGATAGTTTTAAAAAATTTACCAAAATTAGACCTTACATAAACACAACCATTATTTTGGATTAGGTTTTTTTTTTATTTTTTCTACATATTAGAAATTACTACTACTTAATGTTACACACCTGAAATGTGAATTTCATGGACTTGTACTCATCCCAAGTTATGTAAGAATCTGAAGTATCCCTTCTTCGAATGATTGCCTTGTGTTCTTCCTGTATATATCGTTAATAGGAATAAATAGGCAAGAAAGTATTATTTTTATAAAAGTCATTTTGGCGCGGAAGATATCATGCCAAGTTAGTGTCAAAACACTAAATTGGTATGGCTTTTGGCGCCAATTGAAGTCCTAGAGTAGAAAATAGTGCCAATAATACTAAAAATTGACACCAACTCGACACAATATCTTCTGCGCCAACATAGGACAGTACTGTTAATTGAAAGGATGTATAAATTTTATCACTTACAATTAACTCTTTCAAGACCGGTGGATGGTCTACAAGAAATTTAATTGCTATCGTAAGTGCGAGGGAGGTTGTCTCGAAGCTGGCAAAGAGCAATGTAACCATGAGGTCTAGCGCAATTTCCTCCGTAAGGATCGAGCCTTCTTGTTGGAGTTCTTCCAATACATAATCGAAAAAATCAACTTTTTCATTTCTCGGATTTTGTCTTCTTTCTCGTAGCATGTCTTTCAACATCGCCACCACATTTTTTCTTCCCTGTCCATTTATTGTTCTAATAAATTAGGGTTCCATTGCTATGTTATTACATTGTTTGTTGTAATTGATTAGATTAATGATCGAAAAACAAATAGAAACGTAAAGAAGATACAAATTTACGTGATTCATCAACAATTATTGGTTATGTCTGGATAAAAATGGAGAACAGACTTACAGATTACATATACCGATTTCTGATACAGATTAACCTAGATTGCATATCTCTAAAAACTCAGGACAAACTAGATTCAAGACATATCAACAGTATGATTAAGACAAACATCGTTGAACTTACCTTCATGCATTTGTTGTAAGCTGTCCCGGGAATATTTGCTGGAAATGATATGAGCCCCTTTATAAATGCTGAAAAGTTTTCCCTTAAATCTTCGCGACGTTCTTCTGAATCGCAACTGATTAGCTTCTTCGCCGTGAGTTCGAATATCATCTGCAAAAATATAATTCATGACCTAAAACCATGTAGATACATTCATATCGAAAAAGAATCCCAATTTACTTTTGAATTTAATAATTAAGTATTTCTAAATTACTCGGTTCAATTATTTTTTTTCTTATGGTTCAATAATACAATCGCAAAATAATTAGTTCGAAATCGCAACAACATTGCACAATTCCTTATAAAATTCAATATATTTAAGTATGATTCGAATTTAGTTTTTATATCGTTCGACAGGATAATATCAAAATAAATTTAGCGAATAATAAACTATCATATAAAATTCTTAGTCCTCCGAAAAATTTCAATTTTCATGATCACCTTTGCAATTGATTCCCTCGCTTCAATGGTACCATTGCGCGCCCACCTTTCCAAGTTATTTCTCGACACATTTTCTACATCGGGGAGCATCTTTCTAAGGCCTTCCGGACCAAGCAAATTCATTACCATGTTCTTAAGGTACTTGTACATGAAACCATGTAAAGTGCCTATATTTTGTCTCCCAAAGACTTCGGTGAAGGAAGCCGGATACCAGCTTCGGAACAAGTCTCCCTCTTGTTTAAAGATGTAGTTATTAAGATCGCCATCGGCGGATACTATGATCCGGCTACCCACCAAATTTGTCTTGAATACAGAACCATACCTGAAAATTTGATCAAGATGAACTACAATTTATATTCTCAAACTAATGTTCTAAGACTCGATTTCATTGATTATATAATACTCCATCTGTCCAAACCGTTTACTATAATTTATAAGTTGCGATGTCTCAAAAATTTTGCAAATTTTCTTTATTACTCACTATGGGTGTGTGTTCACTTTCAGTCGCATTCCATATATTTCTTTTCACTATTAAACTCTCACAATTCTCGGTAAAAATATAATAATCTCTAAAAAAAAAAATCATATTAAGCTACCTATTTAAATAAAAAAAAAAACTCAAACTAAAAATCCAAAAGTAAAATAAAATTAGACCACACCCACAATTTTTCCTCTTTAATCCTTACACTACAAAAGAGCAAAAATGATAAAAGAGAATACCACTTACAAAATTTGTACCAAAAAATCAAAACTAGCAAAAATAAATGAGACGAAGAGAGTATATATATATTATTGTATTGCACATAAATTATAATTTATCCTCGATAATAAGCACTCCTTAAGAAGATTAACCTTTGCATCCTCTTTTTTACGAATGGATGGATATCGAAAGAGGTGCTAGAACTTAAGAATTGAAGAGTCTCTCCAAGAAGTGGTAGCCCCATCGAACCTGGGGGGAGGATCCCATCGCATTTGGGGTAGAACCATTTATATATCCAACACGCGGTAATGATGGAAATAAGCAAAGATCCAATGTAGAAAAGAATTGAATATTGCATATTTGTTCGAGGATTGAAGCTGTCGCAGAAAATTAAATGGAAGGAGGTTGAACTTGAACTTGAACTTGGTGTTCGATATGATCAATGAAGAGAAATGTTTAAATAGAAATGAAACAAGCTATGGCCTAAGGGGGGACATGAAATAATCATAAACCTGCTGATTAAAATTAAAATTAAAATTAAATATATTATAGTACGTATATAAATATATATTTATGTTTAGCTTGTTAAAACTATGGAGCACTCGAAACATCTTTAGTATGAATTGGACGATGTCTACAAAAAATATGATAGTACAATAATTTTAGTAAAATTTATATTTCTTAATTTAGTATTCAAATATAACAAATCTTCAAAATATATTTATAAGTACCATAATTACAAGATATACAAAATATATATATTCGGCATATATATCATAGAAGTAAGCATGAGATATATCATAGAAGTAAGCATGAGATCGTTGAAACCAACTCGAGTTCATCTTAAAACAGTGAACTTGAATACGAAGTTGGTTAAAGTATCGGTAACTTAATCAACAGAAATTTTGAGACAGATCCTCATCTACACTTCAAAAGTTAGACCTTATCAAGTACGCGACCCTAGACAAAATCTAAGTTTTACGCGCAAAGATGAATGAGTTAAGGAATCAGATAGGGAATGGGATGGTGGTTGAATAACAACAAGGGGAGTATGACTTCGACGGCGATGGCTGTGGCTGTAATATAGGCAAAAAAAAATTAAAAAATAATAGTAATAAATAATAGGATGACAATAATATTATTTTAAAAAAGTTATTGACTACGATGTTTTTAGAGATAGATTAAAGATTAAACGGTTTTTTTTAGGGTAACAAAAAAATTACAAAGTAAACAAACCTTTAGTCGAGTTCGAGTTGATCACTTAACTAACTGACCAACCTAGCTATAGAAGCGACTCGATTGCCTACTCTATTATTGCTTATTAACATTCAACTTAATTACTTTATAGACTCAATTTGATTTGCTTAAAATTTTTACAATCGCAAAAATATGAAAGAAAAAAGTCTATATAATTAATGGCAAACGGCACAATGGGGATAAGCTATGTGTTAAAAAAGTGGTAAAGATGTCGACACCAATGGGTTACAAATTCTTAATATATCTCAGAACATTAAATTGTGGGCCAAGTCTAGTTCGTACTATAGGTATTGCTTATGATGTTTTTATTTTTTGTTTTGGTCTTCGTATTTGTAAATATGAAAAAAATGTTTGTAAATATATATGTTCGATTATCAATTTAATCGTGTAACTTATATAGCCATATTTTGATATTGAAGCATGTGTTAATATAGGGGAATTATAAAATGGAAAAAAATACAATAGCTGAAGCATTAATATAGAAAAAAAAATGGAAAACAAGTTTAAGAATTGTTGAGGACTCCCGTTTGCGGGATATGTAACTAATGGCTTAGTTTCCCTAACAAGTTCGAGCTTTTAGGTGAGACGGTCATTAGTTTCCGACATGGTATCAAACACATATGCATGTGCAAGTTTCGCAGACCCACTTGCACCTGAGGGGGCGTGTTGGGGACTCCCGTTTGCGGGATATGTAACTAATGGCTTAGTTTCCTTAACAAGTTCGAGCTTTTAGGTGAGACGGTCATTAGCTTCCGACAAGAATATTTTTGTTTAGGGGGATTATTTGATGGATTCTTACATTTTTATATTTCAATATAATATAAAAATTAAAGGGTAAATTGCTTATATGTTTTTATAAATGTATGAACAAATATATAAAGATAAATTAGGGGTGTGTTTCTTTCGATGAGTTTGAAAAAAATTTGGTTTTGGTTTTGGTTTGGTATTAAAATAATATATGATGAAATATTTTGTAAGAAAAGATTTTTTTTTTTTTTTTGAAAACATAGAGTTCAAATTGTAGTAGCAACTTAGGTTGGAGTTAAGAAACAAACCCTAGATAATAAAATTTATATAAACATATTTTATAGATTTAAATTAAAATATAATAAGCAAACACAATTTATCCAAAAAAATAAAATAAAGTTCCTCAAAAATAAATATACATGTCAGAAATATATCATTTTCAATTTGGTGTTCCAATCGATAGAAAATTCAATATATGAACACATTTACTGTCGGCTAGACAGATACTCCGATAGTATTTTAACTGCAATATGATCGTTAGTTTCTTATGCATGGCTATCCAAAAAGGATTACAAAAGAGAATAGATTGTGGTTGATGTTTTTTTGGATTGTAATGTCCTTGCATGTCTAGTAATAAGTTTATTGGATATCTTCTCGATTAAAATCTCCAAGATGTATGTTGTTATATCGAACTGATCAGTCAACAAATTGTATGTGTTGTTTTATTTATTTGAACTTGACTAGCCATAGGCAAATTTATTTCTAGACACGTACAAACGTTATATCTAGTTAAATTATCCATTTCAATAGCCCCACTTATATTACGAGCATGCATCTAGATCGAGCATCTCTTGGACCAAAATTATATACAAAAGAGATTTATTGCTAGCAACATAGTACATAGGCTAAGAATTGTAAAAAATATATGAAATAAATGTTTGTTTTGTGGGTTGGTTTTGAATTAATTTAATTTTATTATTATTATTATTATTATTATTATTTTACGTGAGATATAGAGAATTGTGTAGATAATATAAAAATAATGAATGTGTGTAATATATTAATTTTTTCGAGAAAATACGTTAATTTTTTTTTTTGAAAAAGAAACAAATCCTTAATTTTTTTTTTTTGTTTTCTTTTATAAATACGTTAATATTCCTTAATTCAGTCCTTTGGTTCCAATTTCTTTGTTGTTATTTTTATTTTGAGATGTTCCAAAATATTTGTAACTTTCTTTACTTTATGTTCAATTTTTCATCTTTTACCCTTATCGATTCAACTTATAATATAATCACAAGCAAAGGTTGCGTTTCTTCTATGTTTTATATTGTAGTAAGGGCAAACGGGTAAAATAACTATAAAAATTATCTCGCCTGGAAAGTCATGACGAAACAAAAATTAGCAAATAATTTGAGACGAATGTAGTATAATATTACACTCATATATGTAATATATTGTTTAAAATATATTTATAATACAATCAAGACCAGGATATTATTAAATACTGAACTTCAGTAGATATATCGACAAATTGCACTACCAAAAAAATGGTCTTTCACCACGGCTCGACGGTTCGTTACAATAACATCGTAACAAATAATGGTTATTGTTACGACAAGTTCCATGACCAAAAAATATTTTTTTGGTCAACGTTTCAGGTTCTTTAATTACACAAAATAAGCCGTAACAAAAACGAAGTTGGTATAATTTGTTCAAAATAACATTAGTTACGATTGTGCTTCGTAACAAATGGCGTTTAAATTTATTTTTAAAATTTAAAAGATATTTTGGATTTTAAAAAGGGTAAAAACGCTATAGCGCTTTTGGAAAATTGTAAGAACGATTTCAGGGCGCGGGCTTTCTTCTTCCCCTCATCGGTGGCAAATCCATTCCACACTTAGCGAATTTCAGAAAGCTAGGGCAGACCTCATCCTTCGACGCGATTCGGAGGGGCTTACGCGACGTACTGGGCGAAGGTGGGATCGAGGAGGTTAATCGGCACCGGCATCCAGGTAATGTTTTTAAGTTATCTCGAGTAGTATGAGGATCGATCCACGGTTCTTCATCGCGTCCTCTGTAAGGAGAAATCGAAATAGGGGGCGTCGTAATATTCTTCTTCTTTCTCAGGTGGTATTGGGAATTGTATGTCTTGTGTGTGATAAACAGAACTTGATTAGTTGGTAGGATAACATATTCTTGTGTTAGAGAACGAGTAGGCAGATTGTTTAAGTGCCCTGTGAAGTTTGATTTATTAATGGTGTGATTTTATCACATGATTATTTTGGTTCTGGAAATTCGGTTTTGGTCTGCTGGTTGGAAATAGAAGAATCTCAACCTGCACATGTTCGACTCTACCCTGGGATCAGTATGGGTTGAGGTGTATGTGTTTCTGGCTTGTTGTTTAAGATGGGTGATGAGCCTCCTGCTCGTCACTCCTTCGCTGGAGTCGTTGCCAACCATCCTCCGAACCCTCTGGACAAAGAACATCCCCTTCAACCAATTCTTTTCTTTTCCATTCCCTACCCGAAAACCATTGGTTCTACTACTGAACACAACAATGGCCCTGCGCTGGAATTTTCAAATGAGGAGACTGCTCTTCCGGCAATTGATTTCAAGTTCTCATTGGTGGGAAAATACACTCAAGGATATTCCTCATGGAAAGCATTGTTGGGATACGTTCAATCATCTCAAGTTAGTTGGGGAATTCAAGTTATTACAAATCATTTTTAAACATATTTTGATTCGCCTTGCCAATGAGGAGGATTACACTTGAATTTGGACTCGAGTAATTTGGTTCAGCAGAGGCTTCCCTATGAGAGTTTTGAAATGGAATCCTTCTTTTAAATCTGGAATCGAATCTGCAGCAGTACCATTTTGGGTTCAGTCCCCAGTGCTTCCTGCCCAATTATGCCAGAGGGATGCTCTTTTTTCCATTGCCTCACTGATTGGTACCCTCTGAAAGTGGATACGCCAACAACTCCCAAGGCTAGAATTTCAGCTGCCCGAGGCTGTATTGAAATTGATGTTTCTCGCCCTCTGATCGACAAAATCTATTTGCTCATTAATGGTGTTGAAATGGAACAGCAAGTGGAAAATGAGAAAGTGCCGAAATATTGTCTCTTGTAAGCATCTGGGACATAATTTGGAAGGATGTCTTGCTTCATCGACTAATTTTGTCTCTAATCCAAGTAATAAGGAGAATTTTGGACATAAACAAAAGGATCTAAGAAGCTTCTTGCAATGAAAAAAAGAAGATCAGATTCCAAGAGATAAATCCCAACATAAGGAAGGCTTCACTGAGGAGGACCTTACTTGAATGGATAAGGTCAACCCTACTTGGGTTCAGGACAATGTTGATACTAATGAAGACTCAAACTGCTCCAATGGGTTTAAAC